AATGTCTCTGGCCCTGGCCGGTTTGGCTCAGCGGTTAGAGCGTTGGCCTGCAGTCTGGAGAGACCCGGGTTCGGTTCCCGCTAAGGGCATGTACTTCGGTTGCAGTTTGTCCCCGGCCCTGGTTGGTCGTGCGGGTGGCAGCCACTCGATGTGTCCCTTCACATCGATGTTTCTCTCTCTCTCTCCCTTCCTCTCTCTCCCTCCCACTCTATCTGTACAAAAAATGGAAAAATATCCTCGGGTGAGGATAAAAAAAATAATAATAAAATGTCTGTGTGTAGTGCACACACTTCAGTGACCCGGGTGGTTTCAGATGAGATTCAGCCCCTCGTATGGTCAGCTGTGCTCTGCTTTGCGTGATGTCTCCACCGCTGATTTCATTTCATTGCAGAGTGAACAGGCCTCAGCCTTGCTTTTTGCAAGTAGGTTGCAGCTGTGACACGTCCCCTCAGTCCCCTGATAACACGAGAGGATAAAGTGTGTGCTCCAATGCCCCAAGGTCAGGACAGGCGGGTTCTGTCTCACCAGGGTCATCGGGTCATGAAGTATTGGAACGTATCAGTTAGTGTGGTTGGCGCTCTGAGGAACCCCCACTCCGCAGGGCAGGTGTGTTTGTCTGTTTGGTCCAGCCTGGATCTCTGTCCATGGTTGTAGAAGGGAGGCATGACCATGCGGCCTCTGTCCAAACACTGCTGGGGTCACTGTCTCACCGGCAGGGAGGTGCTCAGCCAGCGACTCGGGAGCCTGACTGGTCCGCGCCCACTTTGGCTGAGCCGCCGCGGCCCAGACGGCTGCCCCGGGCTCCAGGACCGGCCGGGCGTGCTCCGCAGACCTGCCCGTTAGAGCTCGGATCACCCGAGCACTGCAGCTGTGCGGGCTTTACGGCCACAGGTGTGAGGATTGCAGCAGCGAGAACACACTGGACGCTGCTGGCCTCCTGCCTGCAGACGCACATGGAATAACTCTAAGCCAGTGACTCTTCTACACGGTGGCCTTGAATGATTACGGTCATTAATCTCATTAACCGTAAGTCGTCAACATCTTCACCGTTCACAGCTCACCTCTGTACCGACAGGCCTGCAGAGATAGGACGTTTGCGCACAGGCCCATCTCGACGTGCGTTGGGACACGTGCCTCTGCAGAACGGAGGGGGCCGTCTACTTGCTTTGAAATGTTACAGTCAATGCAGCGTCCAGAAAGAACATTCTCACGTATCTCTCACTCATATTGACGGGTGTTGGAGCAGAACATAACCCGATGCCGTAGATAATGATATGAACTACACTGTAAAAATCTGGAAGCGTTTTGAATATGGCTAGAAATGTTCAAGTTTGTACTTTTTGAAGGATTTCTCGAGTGTGTTCCGTTGTCACGTGTAACCCTTTACGCTTGCATCTCGGAGAAAGCAGCACACTAGCCAGAATCCCCTTATTCCACATCGTCATAATGCTAAGCTGTTAGGGATGGAGCGCTGACTCACCGCTCAGCATGACTCAGGGCTTCTCTCAGGGGACTGCCAGCTTCCCAAACAGCTGTAGCTCCTGCTCTCTCCCCTCATCCTCCTGGATCTCTCCTGGCCCACATCCAGGGTATGAAGGGTTGAGGGCTGACCACTTTGGTTTGTCATCAGCTATTCCTGCCAAGGATCACAGGCGGTCTACCTGCTCGCTAGGGCCCCTGGCTTAGAGGCCAAGTCCTCATCCGTACTGTCTGCCCCATGACAGAGCCCGAGGTCCAGGCAGGGCTCCGTCACACCCTCACAACAGTAACCATGGTGCACACACACTGTTTATGATTTCAGCTCATGTGCATCGTAATCCACCAATCGCTTTTGAGCATCGTACTGTTAGACTCATACTGAGAACGTTGCAAGGGGGCCCAGCAGGTGTGGCTTAGTGGTTGAGCATCGTCCCATGCACCAGGAGGTCACTGGTTCGATTCCCAGTCAGGGCACATGCCTGGGTTGCAGGCTGGATCCCTAGCTGGGAGCATACAGGAGGCAGCCAATGGATGTTGATGTTTCTCTCATCGTTTCTCTCTCTCTCCCTTCCTCTCCCTCTAAAATCAACAAAAACATTAAAATAAATAAATAAAACATTGCAAGAGGAAATTCTATCCTTGGGGGAACAGGGAAAGAATATTTAAGCCAATGCATAAAATCCACTTAGACAATTTTCTATCGACAAAAATCTCAAAGACATTCTTCATTAGCGGAACTAACCAATATCTATTTCAGGGATGGGTATCAACATCAAAACATTGACCTGAGAAAGTATGTTATTTATGGACCTAGTACAAAATACTAATGAAAACAAGACATGTAGCCAGTACAGAAAACTTTAAGGAATGTTTTAGAAGCAACCGAAAAAGCATATTTTTTTGAAAGAGAACCATCCATGGCGTAAATGCTCCGTTCTCCTCGGCAGTGGATCAATGAAATAACGAAACACTAAGATTTTTCACTTTAAATCAATACTTGGAGTAGCAGGACTATTTTCCTCCTTTCCAGGGATTGGTTTAAACTCATTTTGTCTAATGATTAAATCAGCCATTTTATGTAATTAAAAAAAATAGCTTTGATATAGACCTTAGATTATAGAATTGCAACGGGTTGTGAACCATGTTTGCCATACCTGTTCCCAGGTGAGGGTCGGCGTGGCCGTGTTTTCCTGTTGAAATGAGATGCCGCCCGCATGAGGTCACGCATTGTTCAAACACACCTGTTTGTACCTGTCTTCCTCTGAGCACCTTCGAGACAGCCAGTAATTCCACCTCCAGCGGTTTTGGGGAAGCGCCCCCCTTTCTCTCCTCTGGTGAACAGAGGACAGGACGGGATTTATAGGAAATATTTGTCTCCATTCTCACTTGACTCTCAGATTCTGCCCATGTGCTTTGGTTTCCTGGGTTTGTGTCTGCGCCCCAACAGTATCCTGGCCCATCATTTCCAAAGCGTACACACGCCAGCGTGAGGACACACGACCACACACGCTCATACACGCATGCACACTTCCATAAACGTGACTTCCATACCTGCTTAAGTCAGACATCACTTATAAGCAAAAAAGAAATTGGGAAAAGACAATGCTGTTTGCAGTGAGAGCCGAGGGCCTGGGGAGGGAGGCCAGGAGAGCACCCCGACCGTCTCAGAGAGGACCGAGTGTTGCGTCCCAGAGGGACGGCCGAGGGGAGGGAGTGGGAGCCCCCGAGGAGCGAGCCCATGCCAGTCCTCAGGCAGAATTAGTTTGTCCACGATCATTCAGGGGACAACCAAGTCCCGTGAGTTCCAGAGCATGAGATGCATTTTACTTGTGCTCTGGGCTTGGGATGGGTTCTGGATTTATAAGGTTAAAGGCATTAAAGACTTTTCAGAAATGGCCTTTGTACCTGGACTTCTAAAGGTATCCAGGCTGGGGGGGGGGGCGTATTTCCATTATTAGGTAAAACAATAAAACAATGGATTATCCATATTAATCCTGGATCATTTTATCTAAAAATACCTACAAAGACAGACTTGGGATTACTTTTACATGTTCAAATCCATTTCACAATTTAAACCTCACTGATATGATACCAAAAGGCCTATTTTATTTTATTTTTTTCAGTTTAATGGGCACGTAATACTGGTAAATTACTGACAGGAGATTAAGCGAGGTTTTCCTAATGTTTTGGATAAGTCTGATTCCGTTTCAATGCACTTGCAGAATTTAAAGGTTAAGTGTGTCCCTTGACGCTCTGTGCTACCTTGGGGCTGCTCCGGCTGTTCTCGGGCTCAGGTTCGTCCTGCGGGCAGCCGGCCGAACGGCGATGCGGGCCGCTCCCCACCCAGGGAACCGGAGTTCAGGTCCCCGCCTTGGCGAAACCCCTTTAAACAGTGTCGTGCTTTCGGATAAGTGCACGCGCCCCACGCTGCCTGCCCCGTGCTCCTGCACAGCCGGGAAGCCCCGGAGCCCACGCTGGTCGCGCGGAGCGGTGCTCACCGCTGCTGCCGTCGGGACCGGCACTCGCCTCCGCTGCTCCGGCCACCGCGGCGAGCCTGCGGCCCTCGGGAGCTCGGCTTCCTGGGGAGGCCGGGAGGAGGGCACCTGGCGCTCGGAAAGCTCCTGTCGCAGCCGCTTCCTGGTTACTCAGCGACACTGCACTGTCCCGGCGATATTGATACGTTGTTCACCACGGGAAGACGGTGCTGACCCTCCCAGGAACGTGCGCCCTGCGTGATGACGTGTCCCTCATAGCGCGGCCGTCTCCGTGAACGTGCTCCCTGCGTGATGACGTGTCCCTCATAGCGCGGCCGTCTCCGTGAACGTGCTCCCTGCGTGATGACGTGTCCTTCATAGCTCGGCCGTCTCCGTGAACGTGCTCCCTGCGTGATGACGTGTCCCTCATAGCGCGGCCGTCTCCGTGAACGTGCTCCCTGCGTGATGACGTGTCCCTCATAGCCTGGCGGTCCCCCTGAACGTGCGCCCCGCGTGATGACGTGTCCCTCATAGCGCGGCCGTCTCCCTGAACGTGCTCCCTGCGTGATGACGTGTCCCTCATAGCCTGGCGGTCCCCCTGAACGTGAGCCCTGCGTGATGACGTGTCCCTCATAGAGCGGCCGTCTCCCTGAACGTGCGCCCTGCGTGATGACGTGTCCCTCATAGCGCGGCCGTCTCCGTGAACGTGCGCCCTGCGTGATGACGTGTCCCTCATAGCACGGCCGTCTCCGTGAACGTGAGCCCTGCGTGATGACGTGTCTCTCATAGCGCGGCCGTCTACGTGAACGTGAGCCCTGCGTGATGACGTGTCCCTCTTAGCGTGGCGCTCTCCCTGCGTGGCCCCCAGCGCGCCTGCCGCGAGGCGCTGGCGTGCGTGTCCAGGCGTGTCCCTTCCGTGTGGCCGCGGCAGCAGAGACGCCTGCGGCGGTAGGAAATGACGTCGACTTTTCACAGCGAGGTGGGTTTGGGATGGGAGGTCCGATCCCCTGAGGAAACAGCGATGATGTTGAGTCTTTTCTTTTCCAGCCGTCACGTGCCCCGGCATCGAAGCCCAGCTCTCCGAGCACGTGACCTGGAGGCTGGTCTCGGGATCCCTGAACGAGTTCGGGGCGCAAGTGGTGCTGAGCTGCAGTCCCGGGTACCACCTGGAGGGAGGCCGGCTGGCGCAGTGCCAGGCGAACGGGAGCTGGAGCGTCGTCGAGGAGAGGCCCAGGTGCAGAGGTGAGGGGCGGGGCGGGGCCCAGGTGCAGAGGTGAGGGGCGGGGCGGGGCCCAGGTGCAGAGGTGAGGGGCGGGGCGGGGCCCAGGTGCGGAGGTGAGGGGCGGGGCGGGGCCCAGGTGCGGAGGTGAGGGGCGGGGCGGGGCCCAGGTGCGGAGGTGAGGGGCGGGGCGGGGCCCAGGTGCGGAGGTGAGGGGCGGGGCGGGGCCCAGGTGCGGAGGTGAGGGGCGGGGCCCAGGTGCAGAGGTGAGGGGCGGGGCCCAGGTGCAGAGGTGAGGGGCGGGGCGGGGCCCAGGTGCGGAGGGGCGGGGCGGGGCCCAGGTGCAGAGGTGAGGGGCGGGGCGGGGCCCAGGTGCGGAGGTGAGGGGCGGGGCGGGGCCCAGGTGCGGAGGTGAGGGGCGGGGCGGGGCCCAGGTGCGGAGGTGAGGGGCGGGGCGGGGCCCAGGTGCGGAGGTGAGGGGCAGGCGCTGAAGGCGGGCACCAGGGTTGCATCGGGTTTGCCCAATGGCATGTTGCACTGGAATGAAGAACACGTGTGTTTTTGGGCCTGACCTGAGGGTGTCCTCATTGATTTTCAGATAGAGTAGCAGGAGGACATCAGTGTGAAAGGGACATAGCCAGGGGTTGCCTCCCCACCCCGGGCAGGATGAGCGCAGCCAGGTCCAGGCCCTCGACCGGAATCAAACCCTGACTCTGGTCCTCAAACTGACACTCTAACCGCTGAGCCAAACTGGCTGGGCAAGAATGTATATTTTTAGGTGACACACTTAAAACCCAGGACCGCTGGATTAAGTGCTAAGTGCCGTCCTTTCCTTGTTCGTGATCCTGTCTCACAAACTTTGAAACATCGGAACACTCCAGCGTTACAGATCAGCCCAGAACCGAACCAGTAGTGTGTGTAAAAGGCCACCGTGGAGACCTTCTCGCCAGGCTCTTGGGAAGGAGCATCTGTGCCGAAGATACTGTGTTCTCAAAGAACGTCTGTCTTCAGAGGGACTGATCTTCTCGTCGGTACAAGATAAGCAGGGCTTTGCGTGGGTGTCTTGGTGATAAATAGGAATAAATAGAAAATAAAACAATGTCACTGTTGTTCGGGCACAGTGGATTTCGACACTGAATAGATGTGTTTAGCAGATTGTTCACAAGGAGAAGCCTCACGCACGGAAACAAGCCGTCAGGCCACGTCCCGTTGCTGACATGCTCAGCCCAGTGAGGACCAACCAGAGCAGAAAATGGAAGGAGAACAAAAGAATTGGTGCTTCGCTGTGCTTCTTAATCAGCCTAATTCAACATTTAATAGAACGGATGTTAATTAAACGTGTGGTAGAGCCGTTTGCCGGGAGCACGGAGATGGAATAGGACGACCAGGGATCTCCGGGAGCTCACAGCTCCTACCATGTCACAAGCAGCCCGTGTCCCCAGACGGCCTGATGGCCTCTGTTTCGGGGGATCGTTCATTCTCCCAAGGGTTTGGTTTGACTGGTCGCCACGTGCATGCTGACTTTCCTCTGGGCCCTGAGTTAGTGAATCCCTCCTTCTCACCCCCACCCCCACGATGCTCAGTGGTAAGGTCACAGGGGAGCGGAGGAGGGAGAATCAGGGTCCCTTCCCTGCGGCCCTTCAGCCAGCATGCTTTCTGGGTTCCAACAGGAGTCAGGACCTCCAGGACAGGCACACGGTAGCTCCTGGGGGGCTAGGTGCTCACGCACCCTCTGGGTTTGAGACTGTGCCCTGTGCCCGGCTGCTCCTTGAAGACGGCACTGAGATTGGACCTGGCCTCCCTGTGAAACAGGCAGGCTGGTCTTCATTAACCTTCCAGTTGCCATCAGAAGTGTGCCTGGATTGATCATTAGATGTGCCCATTTACCTACATCCCAGGAGACCAGAGAAAGGACGTTTCAACTGCCTCCCACGCTAGAGTGGATGCTGGTGTCACTCAGAACAGCCTGAACTTGACTTTTCTCGATGATTCACTCGCACATCCATGTCCAGCCCACATTACGTGCCTCCAGGGATGCTCACCCCCAAGGACAGCTGGTTTCACATCCGAGCCCCTGCATTCTGGGCCTTTGGACTCTCTGGGCACCTCGGCTCTGTCCCTCTGGACCTGGGACTCGGTTTCAGCCTGTGGACTGCCCGGCATGCTGTCCACTCACAGATGGCACCACGTGGCCTCTGAACCTCTTCCTCTGGGCGACAGTCCACTCGCAAGCAGGTCGATCACATCCTGTGTTCCTGCTCTTGTCCTTCGGCACATCCGTGAGGTTCTTCCAGCTGGAACATGTCAGAAGCACCTGCCCTGGACCTGATACCTGCTTGTCGCACGCACAGCGACACATCCCAGGCATCTGGCCTCACAGGTGGAGGAGCCACGTGTCAGAGCAGAGGGTGTAGAGGTGGATCTCAGGGTGGACTTGAAGGAGAGAGGACAGAGGCATCTGGGGGCTGGAGAAGGTGTGTCTCCATGGTAACAGTGAGAAAGGCAGTACTGGCAGTGAATAAGGGCAGAGCTGGGGTTCGGATGCCAGCAGCCGGGCACCATGGTGTCACAGGGAAGAAGCAGACTGACGGGTGTGCTCTGAGAACGTGGGTGGAGAGAAGCAGCCAAAGGCTTTCCCCCGGCAGGGCACAGGTGGTCTCCCTTCCTCAGCTGGGCGGGTGTGTTCCTCCCTTCCTGAACGGGGTGTTCCTCATTGACGTGTGGGTTACTGCCCTCGGGCCTCTGCAGCCGGGACCCCGTTCCCAGCTGCTGGAGCTGGGAGTCTGCCCCCTGGTGTCTCTTTACCAACCAGGGTTCCTTAGTGGAGACAGAACAATACAGGTCCGTAAGCAGGGACTTTTTAACAGAGGCCAGGGGAACAGAACATGCACAGTGAGTGAGCCCTTCTGCCCGGCGGCCCCACAGGTGTGTTGGGACCTAGAGAGGAGGCGTGCTCAGGCCTCTGTCCCTCATTCGGACCAGCCTGAAGCCTAAACCACGGTCCGGTGATCCTCAGTGGCTACACATGGGTTCTTAAATATCATAAGGCAGAGTTCATGCTATGTTTGGAAAAGGGCTTAATGCAAAGTTCATAATAAACTGTAGCCTAAATCCTAGTCGAATCCGTTGACATTTGGTAGCGCAAACATGTTAGCAATGTGACTGAATGCACACGCATCCCAGGCACCGAAACCACTTGGAGGCTGTCTGCATTGCAACCGTGTCTGGCCAAGACACGCTCCGGGGGACTTGGAGCATTTCTGGTGCGCGCCCCCAGAGCGCGCAGGCAGCCGGTTGTGCGGCTGCTGGTCCGTCTGAGATGGAACCGGGGCCTCGCCTCTTAGAGCAAAGTCCCCATTCCTAACGGCTGGTCTGAATGGTGCACGCACAGCAGTCATGTCTGGGCACCATCAGCAAGGTGTCCACACTGGTTCGGTTCACACACTGGGCCCTGAGCTGCCTGTTCCCTGCGGGAGCGCAGACCCGGTGCTCTGCTGGGAGCACGCGGCCCCCATAGGAGGAGCCCTGTGTAAGAGATACATCTTCACCGTAACGGAGGAGTCATTGATTTAAAAAAATAACAATTTTATTTATTTTTTAAATTATGTTTTTATTGACTTTAGAGAGAGAGGAAGGGAGAGGGGGAGAGAGATAGAAACATCAATGAGAGAGAACATCAGTTGGCTGCCTCCTGCATGCCCCCTACTGGGGATCAGGCCCACAACCTGGGCATGTGCCCTGACCAGGAATCGGACCTGGACTTCTCAATCCGTGGGTCGATGCTCCGTCCACTGTGCCACACTGGCTGGGCAAAAATAACAATTTTAATTATTTATATAACTAAGAAGAAACTTTAAAAATATATTCAGCAAAAAACTAATAGACTGGTAAGGAAAACAGACCAATTTTAAATCACAATCTAGATGTCAGTGCTTCTCTCTGTTATTAGGGGCAGGCAGACAGAAAATCAGAGAGGTTATCGATTCCAAGCCCAGTGTCCTCTGGCTTGACCTATGTGACATTGTGGAATGCTCTCCTAGCAAACGACAACCTGTACATTTTTTAATAAGTTCACATAGAACATTTGGTACGAGACATTTAAGTTCCTGAGGGAAACCTCCATCTGTAAGGTGTCTCCCTCCCTGTAGCAGGAAGAGGGGTGACTAATCTCCAGACTTATAACTGGAGAAGGCAAGGGGTTCACACCCAGACCCTCCTTGGGCTTTGCCTGGTAACCGCCCCAGCCTGGCTCCCTCTCCTAACACCCTCATTTGTCTGGAGCTGGAGATGGTACTTAAGGTGGTGGCTGGCCATCTTGGAGAGTCCCCCAGTCTCCCTGTGTGTCTCCCATGTATACAGGAGGTAGACATGTTTATAAACTCTTTGTTCTGCTCTTAGGCTGTTATTTACTACAGGGGTCCCGCCAAGAACTTCGAAGAGCAGAGGGAAATAGTTTTGCCTCCCCTGTAGGATCAGCCCTGACAGGTGCGACAACAAAGCCCCCAGACTGAGGAAACTGGCCAGTTTCCCCGGCTAGTTGTTGGCCACGGGGGGGTTGGCCCTTGCCAGCCTGCAGCTGGGAGCTGTGTTCCCCATCTCTGATTTACTGCCTCTTGCTGGTTTACTGTTCACCAGAACTCGGCCATTTCTAGCTCCTGGTGGGCTCTGCCCCAGCCCTTTACGCATCGTGACTTCGTGTGGCCAGAATCCGAGCGCCCCTCAGAATAGCTTTGCAAACTCACCCATTCTCACCTGTTCAAAGTGCATTTGTGGCCTTGGAAACTTCGTGATTCCCTCCGCCCCTGAGACTCGACAATTTTCTGTGCTCAAACATTTATGCACTTGGAGAGCAGAGACCAGTGGCATGTTAAGTCTTCACTGGAAGTGACCGTTTAGTTCGGCTCCCAAACAGGAGAAGCCGTGTGGGTGGGAGGGGACACCACCAATAATTATGCCGGGACAGCAGGTGTGAGCTGGGCACAGACGGTTCCCCATCTCCAACCACGCCGGGGCTAGATTTTATATTTTAATTTTTAGAAAGACTCCACATGCCAGCATTTCTGTAGAGCTCGTGATCCCAACACATTATGCAAGTAAATGAGACAATAAATGAGCTCAGTCTGTGATTGGGGTGGGACGTCCTAGGTTTTCATTGCACACTACTCTGTACCAGCTCATTGACCCTGGGAAAGGCCAGTCTTCATCCCCGCGGGGCACACGTCTGCACCCAGTAACTGTGGCATGGTCCCTGTGACCGACGCGGACCAGCGTGGACAGGAGGCCAACACGGTTGGTAGACTCCTGGTGTGTGAACCAGCTGGGACACTGGGTATTTTTTCAGGAAGGCTCGGCTGCCTGTGGGAGGTAAGCGTGGCGCTGGGCAGTCGAAGGGCCCAGAGGTTGGGGTCCAGTCTGAACCGTCAGGTTCCCTTCAAGGATGTGAGAGGGAGGACACGGAGCCTCCCAGCCGCATGCCTGCCCAGCCCTAAGCAGACGGACACCCAGCCCGCGGTCCTAGTGAACACTGGGCTGGAGGGGCTGCGGTCAGCCGCGCAGCAGGCCAGGGCTCACGCCCTCCGTTTGCCTTGCAGTCGTCTCCTGCGGAAGCCTGTCCTTTCCCCGCAACGGCAACAAGATCGGGACCCTGACCGTGTTCGGGGCCACGGCCATATTCACCTGCAACACGGGCTACACCCTGGTGGGCTCCCACGTGCGGGAGTGCCTGGCGAACGGACTCTGGAGCGGCCCCGAGACGCGGTGCCTGGGTAAGTCCGTCTCTGGACGGCTCAGCTCCCCTGGAAACAGAGCGCGGTTGAGCATGAGCAGGAGATGCCTGGATGCTGGTGTCAGGGCGGCCTGGCGCACTCCATGTGTGGCTCCTCTGTAAGGAGCCAAAGGGCCTGAACCATCCGACCAGTAAGCGAAGGTCACACAGGGACATAAGTGACATTGAGGCTACTTTATAGAGCGCCAAGGGGGCCGCTGTGCTCGTGGTCTTAGGACACCCAAAACGCATGTCAAATGTCAGGTGCATTTAAAAATCACAGGTTGAAGGGACATTAATATCAACCAGTGTAAGACCAGTGAATTATTTTCAGTGGCAGGTGTGTGTGAAGACTTGGCCTTTTTTTCTCAAGATGAACATTTTGGGCATGATCATTTAAAAAAATTGAGTTGAAAATTCTTCTCTTGAAAAACCTTCTAAGTAAATGTGTGAACATTGTTGAATGAGCAGCTTAAAGTACAGTGATTGTTAACGCTCCTCTGAGGTCTGGTAACTTGTAGAACGGGTTCCCTGCCTGACTTGGGATCGCAGTAACGTCTTCATCACGCAGAAGCCGTAGAAGCTGGACAGTGTGAGGCTCCGGCTGTCCACGGCTAGGACCTCGTCAGGAACGAAGCTAAGACATTTATGCTTTTGGAGAGCAGGGAGCCTGGTGGCTTATTAAGTGTTGTCATGGAAAGTGACCATTTGCGTCAGCCCCCAAACAGGAGTGGCCAAGTGGGCAGAGTGGACACCATCAATAATTACGCTGGGACAGCAGGTGCGAGCTGGGACAGACTGTCCCCCTATCTCCAGCTACATCGGGGCTAGATTTTATATTTTAATGGTTAGAAAGATCCCATATGTCAGCTGTCTAGTTAGCATATCTGTGGAGCTCATGATCCCAACAAATTATGCAAGTAAGTGAGAGAATAAATGAGCTCTGTGCTATTATTGGGATGGTAAAAATACACTCTTTTCGTACAGGAGAATTTTAGAAAGTCTCGGAAGAATTTGAAGACAGGAGATGGAAGCAAAGTAGTTAGCGGTCCCAGAGAAACGTGACCAGGGAAAGACAGACGTTCTCCCTCTTACCCACGAATGACACCCTCTTCCTTTAAGTCTCCAGACTCCAACGGTGGTTCCTGACCACCGTGTGTGGGTCTGTGCACACGGGCCGAGTGCGGTCATTGCCGTGGTAGAGAAATGCCGTTCCCTTGGACGTGGTAAGCTCCGTGTTAGGAACGGCCATGCCCTGGGACGCTCTGCGCGTTCCTGGATGCTGTGAGGTGTCATCTGTTCAGGGAGCAGCTCTCTCCGCAGGGCAGCTCCGGTCTGCAGTCAGTTGTTTCTGTCAACTGCCGTAGATTTGGCACCGGACAGAGCAGGGAGCAGGTGATCTGAGAGATTTGCATCTCTGCCATGAATTATAAGGATAGAAAGAAATGACATTAAATTTCATTGGTACCTTGAACTTTAGAAGACACCTTACCACGTTGGTCCTCCCCATGACTGGATGCAGGTAGGCGGGTGCTGGAGTCTCAGGGAGTTTGACTGGCACCTGCAGTGGGCAGAGCTGTGTGGCCAGGGTGCTCCCTGGAGTCCTATTGATCCCAAGGACACCTTTCCCCACATGGTGATGTTGGCTGCCGGCTAGGCTGTGAGGTAGACAGACTGTGAGGTATATTGGACACTCCTTGGCCTCAGCAGGATGGATGCGGTATGTCTTAGCTGCTTTTGGAAGAGGGTTTGCCCAGAAGGGATTTAAACTGAAAATATAACCGAAGAAAAGTGTCCACATTGTAACGTATAATCATGAGTGTGGTAGAACATGGATATAGCATACAAGGAGTGATAATATCGAAGGAGGCAGAGGGTGTTTAAAAGAAAATAAAATCAGAAAGAATTAGAAACGACATATTGACACAAGTCTATAAACCAACAAGCACAGAATGGGTAACACATTTAGTATGACTCTTTTAAAATATTTTTTTTTTTTTAATCCTCACCCGAGGACATTTTTGCATTTATCTTCAGATAGAGTGGGAGGCAGAAAGGGAGGAAGAGAGAGAGAGAAACCGACTGGCTGCCACCCACACGACCCCAACTGGGGCCGGGGACAAACTGCAACCGAGGTACGTGCCCTTAGCGGGAATCGAACCGGGGACTCTGGTCCGCGGGTCAACGCTTTAACCACTGAGCACACCCGGCCAGGGCTTAAAATATTTTAAAAGTTGGTGAATATCGTCCCACAGCTCCCACTGAGTCGCAGGGCTAGATTCACACAGGGCTGTGGAGTAAACACATCCCTTCCGGAATGGAAGCTGCTCACAGCAGGAGACACGGCATCACCAGCAGTGGCCGTCCATGGGGCCCAAGTGGAAATGTGGGTGAAAGGGGGAACAGGTGGGGGCAGAGGTGATGGCCTGGTGCACAAGATCCTAAAATGCTCAGAAGATCAACCGATGGGGGGCACCAGCCCCGAATCTGCACGGATGTTTGACAGAACAGAAGGGATACCTCTGTAACCCAAGAATTAACCAGATGCCTTATTCAGACACAGTCATCTTGAATAATGTTTACCGATGGCTAAAAACGTACAAGGCGGTTTTGAGTTCTATCCGTGGAATCTTCACTAGAACCGTGGGAAGGGCTGATGAGTCCTCTCTACAGGCAGGAAGAGAACTCTGAGCAGTGAGGAATTGGCCGTCATGAAGCCAGCACATCTCAAACAGGGCTTGAACCCAGGTAGCTGATCCACGGACACGGACTCGGAAACAGAGCAGAGCCAGGGGCTCTGAGCTGCTTCAGGCCACCTCACAGTGACCTCTGAAAGGGAGACGTGAGCCTGGCCATGCACCTCTGCCCCGACCGGCCGGTGGGGTCGTCGGTGAGCCCGAGGACAGGGCTTATGCGGCTGCGCCCACCCTCGGCGCCTTCCGCAGGGCCCTGTGCCCAGGCCTTCCGCTGGCTGTTTCCCTTCATCCCACCCTGTGTGCAGGCCTCTTGCGCCCCAGTTTTGCTATTATTTTCCTTTCATTTCTTTTCATTGAGATATTTTTTTTCCATGGTTATGAATCTCTTAAAAATCACTCTGGGTGTCTGTCAAACTACGTGACCTTGGGTGACCTTCGGCTTATCTGGACCTGAAGAGAGAGGGTGGCTACATCGTCACGGAGGGAAAATGACTTCTCATACACTGGAGGCAGCTGGGGAGGAGGGTTTTTAAAAACACAGAAAGCAGTTGATGCTGACATGTGGCTTGGACCTTAACAGAGATGTCCTCTGAGTCAGCGCGAACGACCCCCAAACTCGGCTTTGAGAAACAGGTCCCCCTGAGGAGGAGGGAACGGGACCTCCCCAAGAAACAGACCGTAGGCCGGACGGTCTGCAGTGGACTTGGCGGTTGTGCGGCGCGGCTGCCTCAGGATGTCGTCAGAGAACGACATGCAGTTGAGGACGAGCCACATGACGGTAGACCCGTCACACGCTGGGAACACGCGGAGGGGCGGAGACCATGCAGCTGGATGGCCCTGACTGGGTCGTGCTTGAGATAAGAACCGATCTCACTCACTGGAGTCAGTATTTAAAAAGTGGATGACAAGCCCTGGCCGGTTTGGCTCAGCAGTAGAGCGTCAGCCCTCAGACCAGTGAGTTCTGGGTTCGATTCCAGCAAGAGCATGTACCTTGGTTGTGGTTTGTCCCTGGCCCTGGTCAGGGTCATGCAGGAGGCAATCAGGCAATGTGTCCTTCTCACATTGATGCTTCTCTCTCCCTTTCTCTCTCTCTCCCTTTCTTTCTCTCTCTCTCTACCTGAAAATAGAAAACTATCCTCAAATGAGGATTAAAAAAAAAAGACTGGATGACAATAATACAGACGTCTTGTGCCTCTTTGTTTTGTCCAGAAGAATCGTTATAACAACACAGGGGTCACCCTGTGCTTTGGTATCAGACACTGCAACCCCAAGAAAGAGGAGTGTGTCAGGGGGACCCTCGGAGTTCAGGTGGGGTGCGTGCCCTGCCCAAGAGAACCAGAGAGCTGATGGGACAGCAGCCGGCCCAGGCCGGGAGGGCTCTGTGGACGAGGTTCCAGTGCCCTCGAGTTAGACATCCATGGTGACCTCTCTCCCAGGGAGGTCAGAGCTGAGCGGTCAGGAGCGAGGGCCGTGTTGATGGTGCAGACGCACTGCAGACAGCCCGCCGTCTCTGCAAGGACTTCCGCGTTGTGTGTGTATGAGGCGCTAGTGCGGGTTCACAGGATAACTGTGGGCCTGACTCCTCAGGTGTTTAGGAAGACCCTCCAGCGTGGGGTTTCTGGGTTTCAGCAGAGCGCACATCAGACTTCCCCACGGCAGCTCCGAGTGTGCGCCGTGGGCTGTGTCAGCTTGCCAGCTGCTCGAGGGGCTCGGCATGATGCTGACTGTCGGCTCAGCATTATTGGGAGAGCAGTCCCCTCACCCTAGCGCACCCCAAAGCTTCCGTTCCCGTCCTGACAGGGGCATGCCAGTATAAGCAGACACAGCGAACGTGGCTATTTGGTGACAGAGTCCAAAGCGCTTTACTGGGAATGATATGGAACATGGAAGGACAGAGTGGAGTTAGTGTAACGTTGTGTCCACTGTGAAAGATAAAAGCATCTCAGATGTTCATGAGGAGAAGCTTATGAAGCCAGAGCACACCCAGAGGACTTGCTGGTTTGGATGGGCCTGAGCGGGCTCTGATCTGGTGCTGGCGAGCCTGGGAGTAGGGTCCACCCTCTCCTCCGCCGGCCTAGGCAGGCCGCACCCAGAGTGACGGCGCTGATTCTGCGACGCCGGTCCGGGGGCTGAGGCATCGGTATGCATCTGTGGGGAAGAGCCCGGTACCCATGACAGTTGAGGAAGGACCAGAAAAGGTGTGATTGTCAGTGTGGCTGAGAGCAAAGGTAGGAGGTGACTTCATAGTTGTTTTCTAGTGTTGAAGATGCTGTCGGGTGGCGGACGGAAGGAGCCAGTGGTGGTGAATTATTATCATGTAAGTGCCCGCAGCGTGGGCAGTGCCACCGTGAAGACCCGTGTTGAGATCTGTACTCGGGGCTCCGGTGGTGGGCTAAAAGAAACAAAAGCAAAACCAATTACACACACATGCCGAGGTCAAGGAGCAGGCTGTGAAGCATCAGTGATGCCTGTTCCATTCCCTGGAGACACCTGGCACAGAACAGTGGCTTAGGCTCAGGGTAACAACCCTCTCCTCTCGTAGGTTCAGACGTGGTAGGTCTGTGCAGAGACGCCATGGAGACCTCGTGCAGAAGGCGGGTGCCCACTGGCCGGTTCTACACAGGTTCCATTGGACTCTGAGTCTGTCCATCAGAATGCACAACTCTTTCACAAAGCAGCTTTTCCCAAGTCATGGCGGGTTTCTCATTTATTTGGGGGTCACAAGCAGAATACTTGCTCCTGAGAGGGTGCTCCTGTCCATGCAAAATGTGGTCGTAGTTCAGGTGGCTGTGCTGTGCTGATTTCCAGTGAGGAAGGCCAGGCCGGAGGCCTTGGTGACTGCGGCCAAGCCGAGGAGAACGCGAGCACAGCACGGGGACAGTGCATGGTGGGCTTGGTGCCGGGGGGCTGGGCTACCTGAACACAGCGCCTCCTGCCACGCTGTCCGTGCTCACTGCCACGGAGCCTGAATGGAGAAGGGCCGTGTGGGCTGCTGTCCGTCTGCAGCACTCTGCACGCTGCTGAGACTGGCGAAAGCTGCAGCTCCGAGTGCGTGGTCTGTCTGTGAGTAGCCTGCGATGGTCTGAGACATCGATCTTCTCTTGTTTTTTAAAATATTTTTTCTTGCCCTGGCCGGTTTGGCTCAGCGGTTAGAGCATCGGCCTGCGGTACAGAGAGACCCGGGTTCGGTTCCCGCTAAGGGCATGTACCTCGGTTGCAGTTTGTCCCCGACCCTGGTTGGTCGTGTGGTGGCAGCCACTCGATGTGTCCCTTCCACGTCGATGTTTCTCTCTCTCTCTCTCTCTCTCTCTCTCTCTTCCCCCCCACCCCCGAACAAAAAATGGAAAAATGTCCTCGGGTGAGGATTTAAAAAAATGAAAAAAATAAAATAAAATATTTTTTCTTTATCGATTTTAGAGAGGAAGGGAGAGGGAGAGATAGAAAACATCGATGAGGGAGAACATGGATTGGCTGCCTCCTGCACGCCCCCCACTGGGGATCAGGCCCACAACCTGGGCATGTGCCTGATCAGGAGTTGAACCGACGACCTCTTGGTGCAGGGTCGACGTTCAACCACTGAGCCACACCGGCCGGGCCTGAGACGTGGATTTTCAACTGGTGTGCCACATGAATTTTTAAAACATGCAATACCTGACTATTTAGTCTGGGGCACTGACCTCAGATTGTCAAATAAAAAATGACAATAGGCAACCCAACGATAGCCATCTGCTGTGAATAAATCAAAATCATACCCAGTTTTGTCAGATCAGCAAAAAATGTAATATATTTTTCAGTGGGCTGCAGAATTTTATTAATTAGTTCATGTGCCGTGAGTTGAGGGAAACCGAAAATCACTGGTCTGAGACTTTGTTTTGAAAAGAGCTCAGCTAAGGGCCGGAAAGCGGACCCCGAGGAGCAGATGGCTCTCTCCCAGCTTCCCCAGGCGCCCCTGGCTCGGAGCAGCCGCAGGGGCTCCTCCCTCAGGCCCCAGCTGAGAGGCCGCGCTCCAGTGACGTCTGTTTCCTCAGATCTCAAGGCCCGTTCCTCAGAGTGGATGCAGGAGTGTCAGGGAAGGGCTGCCGGTCTCCACACGCGTGTCAGCCTGGACCTGGCTTCTGACGTGCACGGATGTCCCTTGACCACCAGCCCGCTGGTCTTCAGGGCCTGCAGCACAGCGCTCGTAGCAGAAACCCGATGAAAACTACTGACTGAGCCCAGCCAGTGTGGCTCGGGCTGACCACTGGCCCTGCACCAAGAGGTCACCGTTAGATTCCCGGTCAGGACACAGGCCCAGGTTGTGGGCTCGATCCCCAGTGGGGGGCGTGCAGGAGGTGGCCAGTCGATGTTCTCTCTCATCCATGTTTCTCTCTCTCCCTCTCCCTTCCTCTCTCTCTCCAATCAATAAAGAAAAGAAAATACTCATTGAGGTTGAACACTGGGTGTAGCCACTTGGTCCAAATCAAGAGTGAGGCAGAAGGAGCAGGTACAGTAAGGGCACTTCCGGTCACAGCGCCTCCTCTCAGCCTGGGTCCCGGGTCCCACCCTCCTCCTGGAGAAGTGGGTGACAGGCTTCAGCACAGCCCAGATGCCCTGGCCTTGTCCAGGGCGACCACCAGGGGTTCCGGGCCTCTCTCTCCCTGGAGATCGGGTTGTACATTTCTAGAGGTGGATCTTACCCCTTCACCTCAGACAGGCGGGATCTCTGCGGGGAGCCTGGTGCACCCCTGGGGCTCTCTTCCTGGTGGCTGTCACCTGGACTGGAGTCAGGGTCCCGCCTCCCGCCTGAGCTGTGTGCCGGCGCAGCCTGGGCAGGTGCAGATCAGGGGCCGGATGCCCACGGGTCTGCTGTGTACCAAGTCCTCCGCTCATACCCGGCGTCAGAGGCTCTGGCCCAGCTGTTGAGCCTGGCAGCCCCTCGGCACCCGCTCCGTGTGTCCGCTCCGGGTGGGGAGGCCACGGGAATCGGCCTCGTTGTGCCAGCTGTCGGGACAACCTGCCAAGGCAACCGACGCCCAGCCAGGTCTAGGCTGACTACTTTGACCTGACCTCTTATGGACTTGGGCCAGACAGATGTGTACACAGGGTACCTGCTCCCTCTCTCCTCTGTGCGTCACCCGCTGGTGCTAGATGTCCTTCAAACCCCGGAGAGCCGTGCTGGTGAACACTGTAAGCAGAGACACAACCACTCTGTTTGTCTTCCAGTGGGGTGTGCTGCCCCCTGGTGGACACCTGCGCTGCTCTGTGTACACACCCACAGCCTGGCTCCCCAGGAGGGATCGGGGGTCTGCACCATGGTCAGCCCCCAGGAAGCTTCAGGTCTGGATGGCTCTGTGTCCTAGCGATGCCTGTCTCTTCCTGGTTTTCCAAACCCACGTGCAACACACATGATTTTGTGTCAGTCACTCCTGCTGCTTCATGTTTTGTTGATTCCATGTATGTGAGGAGGGGAGAGGGCAGAGGAGGGTGAGGGGGGACAGGGCAGAGGAGGGTGGGGGGGAGGGCAGAGGAGGGTGGGGAGGGGAGAGGGAGACGGACCAGCAGGATGGAGAGTGGAGGAGAACCCCGACCACGGAGAGGAGCGGGGAGCTGCCTGGCCAGGTCTCGGCGCACCCGCAGCTGTTAGAGAGAAGTGTAGGTGACAGAGTTCGAGGTGGTGAGGCTGACTGGTCAGGGCCACCTCAGAGGTATGGGATTTTACAGAGGACAGGGGCGGGCTGGACTCTGAAAGCTGCTGGGCCAGAGTGGGTTTGCCCAAAGCTGCAGGGTGGGACGATGGGGAATCCCTAGGAGGAAACACGGGAGGGACAGGGGCTCTGGCTGAACTGACCCGACAGGTTCTTGCCGAGGCAGCCAGGTGGCCAGGCCACACCTGCGGATGGAGGGGATGAGGAACCCCATCCCATATGGAGGGTGATTAGATGGGGGGGGGGGTCCTGCTAAGCCTGCATTTTACAAAGAAGATCCTAGATCCAGTGTGAGAGATTTCTGAAGTTGTCTGAAACCCCGAAGGAAGGACAGATACCGGAAACCCAGTTCCATCTCAGACACGTGCGCTGAAGCAGGTCCAGGCGACTGCCTGCTGTTAGCTGAGGGGTCACACCTGGAGCTGAGGGGGCCCTGATGGGTTCTCCTAGGAGAAGTTCGGGGGCCTGAGGACGGGCTGGCCACGCCAAGGGCCTTTGTCACCGCTCTGTCCGTCAGCTCCAGGAGGACTGCACACCCGTGCCATCCTGTCCGCCGTCGGGCCCCCTCCTCCCCCCACCCCGTGGAGCCTGTTCCACAGCAGCTGTGCTTGTGCCTCAGCTGCTCCCAGGCACAGGCTCCACCTCCCCCCACAGGCCACGCCCACCCGGCCAGACCTCGGTGCTCTTTTCCCCGAAAGCTCACTCCCCTCACCCCCCCCCCCACTCTACCCCGGCCACAGTCTGGCTCCTGGTGAGTCTGCTCCGTGTGGGCACAGCCCTCCCTGGACTCCAGCTGGTAACAGGCAGCCAGCTGGACATCGGCCCAGACGTGATGCAGCGCGCGTGTCTGAGATGGAACTGGTCCCCAATACCTGTCCTCTGGGATTCACTGCAACTGCAGAACCTCTCGCGCTGGGCAGCCACACCTTCGCCTCTGCACTGCCCCATCCAGCGGTCACAGCCCTGTCCATCCCCCAGGCCGCTGCCTTTCTGCCTTTTATTTGGAAATAGAGTCACCAGATAAATAATACAAACTTCCGAGCAGAGAAATAAGTAAAATAAGTAAGTGAGACAACTATACTTGGGGAAATACTCACCAGTTTCATATCTGAAGTGTCACGTATGTCTCCGCCCTTGTGGAGAAAACAAGCACGTTTAGCAGGAAGACCACACCAGGGGATGGTAGGGGTGCGGTGAGCTGTGCACCCAGTGCCTTGTTCCCGTGCTGACCGAGGCCAGCAAGCCTGAGTGCAGCGCTCAGGGGACAGGCTCGAGTGTGCTCATGGTCTCCTGCCCTTCCAGCTGGCCACTGCGGCTCCCCGGACCCCGTCGCGAATGGCCACATCAGCGGTGAAGGCTTCAGCTACAGGGACACGGTGGTTTACCAGTGCAGCCCGGGCTTCCGGCTGGTGGGCACCTCGGTGCGCATATGCCTGCAGGACCACAAGTGGTCGGGACAGACGCCGGTCTGTGTGGGTGAGTCACTGTCCCTGGTCAGCCGGTGCCCTGCACAGACTTAGTTCTCAGCCGAGCACATGTGTTTAGCTTTCAAGCAAAATGAGTGACAGCCCTCCTGAGACAGACAGCAGCATCTTCCCTTTTCTTTTCAATGCCACTCCCGTTCCGATTCCTCCCGGCCTCCACCGGACCTGTCCCCGGGGCACGTGCCCAGCAGCCCCCGAGGTGAATCCCAGGACGGGGCTGCGCACCTCTCCCTGACTTGGGGCGGGGGTGGAAATCAGCGGAGCCTGGTCTGCAGGCTGGCCTCCCCGCGCCCAGAACAGCCCGCGCCCTCCGCGGTCCGTATTTGTATCATCGGTCCATCAGGAGGACAGTTCTCAGACTGGCCCTTTCTGCACTGGGCAGAGGTCAACTGTATGGAATGACTGTCCTCTGATTTCATAACTTTGAAGACAAATATCGACTAATCTTTTTAGGAGAGATTGCACCCTCATTGCAAATTTTGTCTCAAACCAGTTTCCCCCCACATATCCTTTATGAACAAAGGCAAGGTGATGTGTCGACAGCACGGGGACGGGTATTATCCGAGACCGTGCAGCGGGCGGAGCTTTGCTTAGAAGAAAGATGTGCTGACAAGATAAATGGGGAGAAACACCAGCTTCCTGGCTGTAATGTGTTTCTGGTCGAAAGGCCCATCGAGAACATCTTTGCTCTTTGTATCCCTGTTATTTCAGGGAAGACAGATGACAGTGCCATACATTCCAAAGGATCTGACAATAGGAATTGTCCAGGAAAGTGCTTTTGAGCTTGTACACATTGCTCTCCTTTTTTATTGCTAATTCCATGATACTTAAATGGCCACTGGATTACTTTGTCCATCCACAGTTTAGACGGCCAGGGATGTGCCGGTATTTCAAAATGAGAGTCCCATCAAGGTAGCTCCGGTTCTGAGGGTAAGAGTCAGGCCTCATAATTAATGCGGGAATGTTAGCATCTCTTGTTTTCCCTGCTTTATTTGAAAATTACCTGTTATTCTGTCATGGGAGTAAGACATGATAATTATTATGAAAACAGTGCATTTTCCTGATGCATTTTCCACAATTATAGTAAAATCTCAAGGGTGGATTTTTTGCCGTGGTGTTTTGCCAATATGTCCTTCTAAGTAGAATATACAACGTGCCCGATGAGTTTAAACCCATGAGCCCATACGTCAGACACACCTGCATGTTTGTTAATGAAAAACTTTGAGTGGCCTTGATGACTTTGTTGATGGGGCCATGGACCTGTCTTCCTCCACAGCCATCACCTGCGGTCACCCTGGGAACCCTGCCCACGGGCTCACCAAGGGCAGCGAGTTCAACCTGAATGACGTGGTGAACTTCACCTGCAACACCGGCTACCTGCTGCAGGGGGCGTCCCAGGCCCAGTGCCGGAGCAGCGGCCAGTGGAGCAGCCCTCTGCCCACCTGTCGAGGTAGGAAAACCTCTGGGGAGAAAGGGAGGAGCAGAAGGGCTGTCCCTGGCTCGAGGAGCCCTTCCTGAGCTTAGCGTATAGGTAGCTCCACGCCGCTGCCTTGCTCCGGGACAGGTCGCCCATCAGAAAGGCCTGGGGTTCTCTCATTTAAGGGCAAAGCACCTGCCGTTTCTCTTCCCAGCTGCTCGCTCACCCGTCTGCAGCTGCCCGGTCCAGTTAACACCTTTGGGCCCACATGCTTTGAGACTCAGAGGTTTTCAAGAATCCCTTCTGGCTTTTAAATCTTCTTTTTAATTCACTTCTTTAAAAACTGTCACAAAGATCTAGACTAAAACCTGAGGTTCCAGGAAGATGCTGTTTTGTAGTTCTGCATTTCCAGACGCCTGAGCTCAGGACGTTTGAGGTGTGGCTTCGACCATGCTCCATTCATACAGGTCTCATTGCAGGGGAGCCGCACAGCAGCCTGGGTGAGGTCACTGTGCGTAGATGCTCATGGACACCCCTGCTGACAGCCACCCCCCTACCCCCCACCACTGGGCTCCCACGGGAGCTGTTTCAAGTGAGACAGCAGTAGGAGGGGCACGAAGCGAGTGTTTCCGATGGTAGTCGTGTGAACATCGGCTCTGGGCCACCGAGGCCTGGTACAGGTCTGGCATGGAGGGCTTGGCTTTAGCTCTAACACAAGTCGAGCCTCCTCTTCCCCGCGAAGATGCTGTTGGACCCAGAATGTCCAGGGACTCAGCAGAGGCACCAGGGAGACCTGGCCACTCACCCGACTCAGCACAACACAGGGGTGTCCTCGGGCCACTCACCCGACTCAGCACAGCGCAGGGGCGTCCTCGGGCCACTCACCCGACTCAGCACAATGCAGGGGCGTCCTCGGGCCACTCACCCGACTCAGCACAACGCAGGGGCGTCCTCGGGCCACTCACCCAACTCAGCACCACGCAGGGGACGTCCTGGGCTCAGAGTAGCTGGAGACAGCCAGACCTGCCTCTGTCCAGGGGCGACTTCTCCTGCGGGTGGCGTTCCTGCAGTCAGCCCAGCACCCCAAGGAGAGCCTCCTTTCTGAAAAAGGAGACTGATCACCTTTTCACCTGAACGACAACCGCTCTCCTTCCCCTGTGACTCCTTTTCCTCCCTTTACTCCAGCATCAAGGGAAACACCCTGAGGGCTGAGGCAGGGCTGACAACATTTTCCCCTTGGCTTTGCGATCAGGGCCGTGCAGAGCGCTGGGCCGTGTCTCACGACAGCGCAATTCTGCAGTTCGGGCTGTTGGACGTCTGCAAGCGACCACGTCTGGTTCTGTTTCTGTGGCCCTGGGCTTTGTACGCAGCCGACCTGGCTTTGACTCCGTGGGCGAGAACTTTCGTCACATGACCCAGGGGCAGAGTGGACTGGCCCGTGTTGCCGGAGTCAGACGCCTCCCTGTGCAGCTGCCCCAGCAGGGCCAGCGTCGGCCACCTACAAAGTCCTGGTGCTTGAGCAGGGACGTGAGCGCGGCGTCGGCCTGTGTTCTCATTAATGAGACCGTGTCCCCAGTCCAGAGCCCTGTTGTGGAGCTGACTGCGTCTGGAGTCTCCTTGATGCCTGAAGCAGGCACTTTCCAGTTACATTTCAGTGCAGTAAACAGCTAAGCTAAGTATGGACGTGAAAAGCAGAAAATTAGCGACATGTTCTGTGTGCTGTTTTCCTCAGGATAAGAAGCCTTTGATCCTGGTTTTTTCCCATGTTCTGTTAGATGAGTACATACTTTTTAAATTAAACTTTCGGTTTGGAGGTGATTGTCGGTTCACGTGAAGTTGTTGGAAACATCCAGAGGACCCCGTGTACCCTGAACCCCTTCCCTGGTGACACCTAGTGAGCGTCGACGAGGCCGAGTCAAGTGCTGACTAGGATGGGGGCAGATGCGAACAGCCAGGGACCCAGTGTCCCGAGCTGCACCCACACCTGCCTTGCTCCTCAGGTCCAGACACCAGGGGCCTGGGTCCCGTCTCTGCTCTTCACCTGGCCGGCTGTGCTCACGTGAACGGGCGGCACACTGTGCAGCCGCAGGTGTGGCTTCTCCACTCTCTGTGACCAGTTCCCTGTATGTCCACCGTGTTGTGGGTCTGTTTGCTTTTCCTGCTGAGGGCGCTCCAGGGTACGTGGACCACGGTGTGTTTAACCTTCTCTGATTGAGGTCACCTGGCTGGTCCAGGTTTTTTTGTTGTTTTTTTTTATTATCCTCACCGGAGGACATTTTCCCATTTTTTTGTTCAGGTGGAGTGGGAGGGAGAGAGAGGAACAGAGATGGTCCAGGTTTTTGGTCTTACAGGTGACATTGCTATGAACCTGCATGTGTAGGTTTTTGTGTGATTGTAAGTTTTTATTCCTCTGGAAAAAATGCCCAAGAGTGTGGCTGCTGGGTCAGACGGCGTTCACACATTTCATTTCATGAGAAAGTAGAAAATGTTTCCAGAGAGGCTGGGCTCCTCTGTGTTCCCGGCGGTGAGGTTCCTGTTTCCCCACATTCAGCCCAGCGTTTGGGTTGCTGGCCAGGTGTTCCCTTGAGACACGCAGGGGTGTCTGCTCGTGCTGAGTGATTCCCTGACAGCTGACGACGCTGGATGTCTCTTCACGCGTTCACCGGCCGCGTGCCCCTTCTCTGTGCCGTGTCTGCCGTGTCTTTTGCCTGGGTTCTAATCGGATGCTCGGGCTTTGTGAGATTTTTACTATTGACCGGTCATCGGTCAGCTTCCTGGTGCAGAGGCTCCTCCCAGCCTGTAGCTTGCCTCACCCTCCCAACAGGTCTTCGGAGCAGGAGAGCTTTATATTTGCATCTGTTTCTTGTGCTTTTGATGTCAAGTCTGAGCTGAGAGCCTACACAGGTCAAGGTGCTGTTTTTCTAAGAGTGTTATACTTGGCTTTTTATGTGTTCGAAGCAGGTGTTTCACTGGATGTGAACGCTTGCGCAAGGTGTGGGATTTGGGGCAGGGCCTTGTGGTTTGTCTGCGGATGGTTCTTCTCAGACACCGTTGGTTGAAAGGGCTGCTCTTCCCTGTGAAAAGTAAATTGCACACCTGGAGCCTGAGCTCCCTGCTTGGCCTTGTCCTGAAAGGCACCCTGGTTTCAATGAACTGCAGAGAGCTGTCGGGAATGGCGCCTCTGTTTCTAACCTGACACGTGAAGCTGAAAACTGAGCCATAAAGTGGTCGGTAACTGACATTCCACATTGGACACACTGTATCCCTTGACCGATGAAAACCTTACTGTGTTTAGATGTGACTGTACCCACTTTTCATATAAAGATGCACCATCGATGAGAATAATTTCCATATTTCACACATTTAAATTATTTTTTGCAAAAAAAAAAATGCTTTTGAAAAGCATTTGTTTTCACTATCAGATCTGTCAGTAGGAAGACGTGAAAGTCCGTGCCGTGGAATGAGGGCCATGGCTGCTCACTTGGGACCCCCAGTAGGCCTCATGGTCACACCACAAAAGCTACACCCGCACCCAACCACTTCTGAATGTGGGAGGGGTGTTGCAAGTAGTTCTCAATCCTCACTTCCCTTCAGTGAATCTTAGTGCCGTTCAGAAAGACTGGAGACCTGACCTTCGACTCAGCCTTAATTATTATTTTTTTATCCTCACGCGAAGACATTTTTTCCATTTTTTGTTCAGATAGAGTGGGAGGGAGAGCGAGGAAGAGAGAGAGAGAGAACATCGATCTGAAGGGAACACATCAAGTGGCTGCCACCCGCATGACCCAACCAGGGTGGGGGACAAACTGCAACAGCGGTGCATGCCCTTAGCGGGAACTGAACCCGGGACTCTCCGGACCGCAGGTCGAAGCTCTGACCACTGAGTCAAACCGGCCAGGGCTTGACCTTAATTTTATACAAGGCGAAATGACTCAAAGTTATGATTTATGGAAGATAATGATAAACCTCAGATCAATGACCTACACCGTTTCTTAGGTTGTCTTACAGTTTTTTGCTTTAAAAACCATGGTTGACAATACCTTGGTCAGTGCTCAGTGCCACGGATAACAGGCCACTGTCCAGGCAGCCCCGTCCGGGAAGGGACCTGACCCCGCATAGCTGCACTCAGGGACAGCCTGGAGCTCCCAGCACGCTCGTCTTTAAAAACACGGAAACAAAAATGTTTCTTTGTGTTTTAAAAGGCAGAATCACATCTATGTAATCCAAAGAGACTTTTAAGTAGTCCCATTCAATGTAACGAATAGTCAGTCTCACATTTGTTTTTAATGACAGAAAATATATCCTTCTGTTTAAAAATATGGAAGCACACTTGCTATATGTTTAATAGGCATTTGGGAGCCACTGGGAGCCACCCTGTTGCTGCCTCCACTTCAGTCCCCTTATCACACAGGGCCCCTCTGAAAGGGAGACTCCAGTTTAGTAACCAGGACTATGAGACTAACGAGGTCACGTACCAGAAAGCTCCCCCAACTGCCATTGGCATGAGGTTGGTAATGGACGTATTAAAGGAGGAAGGTCCAGTTTGACCCTGCCCAAGGGTTTGACCCTGCCCAAGAGGAATGGTCTGGACAGACAGACAGCACGTGCCCTGTTACTCTGGGCAGTGGAAATGTGCCCTGGGGGGCCTAGGACGTGGCCTGAGCTCACGGAGGGTCACAGCAGGGCGTGGGCCTGCTGGGGGAGCAGAGGGCACTGCTCTGGCTCGGAGCCGGAGGGAGGTCCCAGCCCAGGACGGTGGGCCTCCCACAGTGCCGCCTTCACGCCCGCCGTCGCGCTGGTGCTGCCCGACCCAGCGCCTGCTCACGTCCACTCCACCAGCATGTGTGTGTTTTTTTTAAATAAGAAGTAGTTTTGCATCACATGAGTTTATGTAAATATCGTAATAATGGTGACACACATAACACTAAAATCTGGACAAACTGGTTGGTTTTTTGCTTTTTTTATTTTAGAGAGAGAGGAAGGGAGAGAGATATATATTGATGTGAGAGAGAAACATCCATCAGTTGCTTCCTGTAGGTGTCCCAACTGGGTGCTGAACCCACAACCTAGGTGCGCGCCCTGCCCGAGAACCAAACCCATGACCTTCGGGTGCACAGGACAGCTCAGCCCTGCTGAGCCACCTGGCCAGGGCTGGCTGCTCTTTCATAGAGAACACGAATCAGTTGCACTGAGATCGTGAGCTCGGAGGTGTTCCAGGGCAAGGTGGAAAGAGCTGCTGCGACCTGATGTGGCCTCTCGCAAGCCCCCGCAGAGGAAGGGTGATGCATTGTTTCAGGCTTCTGCACTGGAGAACGGGCAGGTCACTGAACTCTTTCTCTGACTGTGGAATAATCCGCCTCCCAGCTCATGGCTTCTCCGCAGCAGCCGCTGTCCTCTCAGGGCTGGTGCACTTCCTGTGCAAGCGGCAGCTCTGAAGCCCGGAAACATCCGCCTTCGCCTGTGCTGTGTCCTGTGTGGCCCAGAGAACTTGGTTCTTTCTTCTGCCAACCCGGTTGTTTCAGAAACACAGTGTCCTTTCTGAGCACTCAGAGGGGTCTCTGACCCTCCTCTGCCCACACCTCCTCCTGAGCACGGGGAGACAGCACCCCCCGGGGAAGGGCTTGCCCAGCCGCTGGGGCCCAGACTGCAGGGCCGGCCTGGGGATCGGTTCCACAGCCAGGCTGGAGGTAGCGGGGGAGGGTGCCACTCCCGCCACAGCCGCTTCTAACCCACTCTGCGCCGGGTCAGCGCCAGGTCCTCAGGGCCTTTCTATTCCACTGCCCCCGCCGGGGCACAGTGCTGGTCCCCCTGGTGCCAGCAGGAATTCAGGCTGCCAGAGCTCCATTCACACTGACCAGAGCTCCATTCACACCGACCAGCGCGCCATTCACTTTGCCCAGAGCTCTAGTCACACTAACCAGTACGCCATTCACCTGGCCTAGAGCTCCATTCACATGACCGGAGCTCCATTTCCACTGACCAGAGCTCCATTCACCTTGCCCAGAGCTCCATTCACTTGGCCCACAGCTCCATTCACCTGGCCCACAGCTCCATTCACCTGGCCCACAGCTCCATTCACCTGGCCCACAGCTCCATTCTCCTTGCCCACAGCTCCATTCTCCTTGACCACAGCTCCATTCACCTTGCCCAGAGCTCCATTCACCTGGCCCACAGCTCCATTCACCTTGCCCACAGCTCCATTCTCCTTGACCACAGCTCCATTCACCTTGCCCACAGCTCCATTCTCCTTGACCACAGCTCCATTCACCTGGCCCAGAGCTCCATTCACCTGGCCCACAGCTCCATTCACCTGGCCCACAGCTCCATTCACCTGGCCCACAGCTCCATTCTCCTTGACCACAGCTCCATTCACCCGGCCCAGAGCTCCATTCACCTGGCCCAGAGCTCCATTCTCCTTGACCACAGCTCCATTCTCCTTGACCACAGCTCCATTCTCCTTGACCACAGCTCCATTCACCTGGCCCAGAGCTCCATTCACCTTGCCCACAGCTCCATTCACCTGGCCCAGAGCTCCATTCACCTGGCCCAGAGCTCCATTCTCCTTGACCACAGCTCCATTCTCCTTGACCACAGCTCCATTCACCTGGCCCACAGCTCCATTCACCTGGCCCACAGCTCCATTCACCTGGCCCAGAGCTCCATTCTCCTTGACCACAGCTCCATTCTCCTTGACCACAGCTCCATTCTCCTTGACCACAGCTCCATTCACCTTGACCACAGCTCCATTCTCCTTGACCACAGCTCCATTCACCTGGCCCAGAGCTCCATTCACCTGGCCCAGAGCTCCATTCTCCTTGACCACAGCTCCATTCACCTGGCCCACAGCTCCATTCACCTGGCCCAGAGCTCCATTCTCCTTGACCACAGCTCCATTCTCCTTGACCACAGCTCCATTCTCCTTGACCACAGCTCCATTCACCTTGACCACAGCTCCATTCTCCTTGACCACAGCTCCATTCTCCTTGACCACAGCTCCATTCACCTGGCCCACAGCTCCATTCACCTGGCCCACAGCTCCAGTCACCTGGCCCACAGCTCCAGTCACCTGGCCCACAGCTCCAGTCACCTGGCCCACAGCTCCATTCACCTTGACCACAGCTCCATTCACCTTGACCACAGCTCCAGTCACCTGGCCCACAGCTCCAGTCACCTGGCCCACAGCTCCAGTCACCTGGCCCACAGCTCCAGTCACCTGGCCTACAGCTCCAGTCACCTGGCCCACAGCTCCAGTCACCTGGCCCACAGCTCCAGTCACCTGGCCCACAGCTCCAGTCACCTTGCCCACAGCTCCAGTCACCTTGCCCACAGCTCCAGTCACCTTGACCACAGCTCCAGTCACCTTGACCACAGCTCCATTCACTTTGCCCAGAGCTCCATTCACCTGGCCCGGAGCTCCATTCCCGTGCCTGGAGCTCCATTCCTGTGCCCGGAGCGCCTGCAGCCAGCACTCATACGGCTCCCTCTAAGGGGAGAGGTGGCTTGATTTACGTTTCTAGTAAGTGTTGGTGGAAGAACCGGTGGTACCCGCATTACGCACAGAGCACACATCACTTTAGGCACAAGGAAGCATCAACTTGTGTGGCGAGAATTAATTGCTGTTCCAGACTGTCCTGAAGCATCACACTTGGATGGAAATATTTAAACAAATAAACTTCTGTGGGTTTGTGACATGTTCATAATGTAGAAACTTAACCAAGAAACCAGACCAGATTTTATACTAACGAAGCCTGTTATTAGGAAATCGTTAACGGAAATTGGCCGCATGTTGTTAAAGTTGCTGTAGCAGCTGCTACATTACTTGAGATCATTGAACCCTGATGACCCCAAGCAGCCAGTGGATCTGACTGAGGGAGCGTCTCACGATGAGCCTCGGCTATGGTGCTGCCATCGCACAAATGTCCTACAGTGATGGGGAGCCCCTCTCTGTCATCTGTATGCTATGAACGTACCGCTGTCCCTCATGCTGTGTGTCATGCTGCCTTTTCCAGTGGTCAACTGCTCCGACCCAGGCTTCGTGGGCAACGCCATTCGTCAGGTTCAGCAGAGCTTCCCCGAGAGGTTCATCTACGGAATGAGTGTCTTGTATCATTGCAAGAAGGGGTTTTACTTGCTGGGGTCTTCCGCCTTGACCTGCACGGCTAACGGCTTATGGGATCGCTCTTTACCCAAGTGTTTGGGTAAGTGAAGGTTCTTTGGGGTTCTCGTGCCCCAGAGTCCTGTAAGAACACCAACAGAACAAAGATTGTTGGTTTTTTCAAGTAGTCAAAAAGTTATTGATGCTTAATTCTCTCCACCCACCACACCCCCAGGCACATGTTAGTCATTCTGATGTCTTCATAGATTGGCAGGAAGTCACAAACCACAGCTCAAACTAGTTTAGGGGAAAAGCTGAGAGACACTGACATGCCCACACTCCTGGACCCAGGGACACACGGACCCAGAAATGGACCCCACTGGGACTCATTCTGTCTTCGCCTCTGTTCATAATGCTTGTCTCCTGCTTCATCCGGCCAAGTCCACACAGGTCGAGCATGGCGGCCGCGACCCCTGGCACCACTCACTTCTCTGGGCGCAGACCCAGGCTGAGAAGCACTGGCCACAGCTGGGCATGTCGTGCCCCTGCGACCGCCTGTCTGTGGCCAGAGGGTAGCGTGTTTTCAGGGACTGATTTGGGTCTTTCGAGCACTTGTGGTCCAATCAATAGTAAATACGATAATGAAGATAGTATTCGGATAGTAACTTCCCCTTGACCTGTGTGTTTAAACCAGGGGGTACATATTGCTCTAGAGAAGGAGGTTGCTTTTGTGAGCAGATAAAATTACGGATGCCCACGATAATCAGTATGTTTTAGACCACGTAGATGAACAAGAATACAATATTTTTTTTAACCTAAATAGCGATAGTCATACTTTCTTTTACTTTAAAAAGCATATTTCCCGGGGCTCAAAAAGAATCACTTTGTTAGGACATAGTCTGGAATTTAGGAAAACAACTCCTTGGCCTTTTATAAATCAGTCAGAAACAAAACAATCCTTAAAATGAATGTCTTGTCTTCTTAGTATTCATTCCACGTGTGTAAAGAGAGTGGGAAATTGCAAGCACATAATGAATTGCACTTAATGAAAAAAAAGGGATGGTTCTGTTTGTCCACTTGGAATTGCAGCATTCAGTGCATTTTCAGGATGGACTGGGACTGGAAACTTCTTCCTGCGAGTTGGTCCCTCGTAACCCCTTCCGATCCACGTGGAAACACGTCCTGGTTCTAACTGTGCCAGTACAGTCAGGTTCTGTGGAGAGAAAGTGATTGACACCTTTAAACTCACATGCACAGCCTGTGTGACCAGAAATGCATCTGCCCTGTGTCAGGATCTTCACCCCACTGTGTCTGCTTTCTGGTTCTCTCCAACTGCACACGTGGGAATTTGTCAGAGAAGTTAGTTTAATCCTTTTTCTCCCCAAATATTTCTTCTAAGCCTTCCTTGGCTCAGGTGAGACTCACGTTGGGTTCTGTAGTGATGCAGTGTGCCCAGTCCCCAGGAACTAGGTCTGCCTACTCTTGCATTCTCCCAGTGGCTGGTCCCCACCGTGCACTGGCATCCAGCTGGGGTCACCGTGGGTGTGAGGACGAGAGGCCTGGGACTTACACGCTCTGCACAGCGGTGTTTCAGTCTGTTTCTGCTGTTCTAGTTTCCTTGATTTTTTTTCACTTTTATCTCACCTGGGGCTGGTGTTTACCGACCATTCCAGTGATTTAGTTCCAGTGAGCTCCTTTGTAGGACGCTATCTGGATCAAACTGCTCCTGGTGAGTGCGCTGCTCTCCGCGCGTGGAGCCGGTGCGCAGCTGCAGGCGAGAGGGATAAGGGCGCCTCCAGCCTCCGCCAGCAGCTGTCTGCTGAAGCTGTGGCTGCCGTGACACATGCAGTCACTCTGCACGGCACCAGTGGCCTCTGGACGATTGGTTGGTGACTTTGTCCAGTGAGCTGTGTGCAGGTGGCATAGAATGTCCCTGCTGTTCAGCGTGATCTCGGACTTGACTGGAAGGGAGGGAGAAATCTTTATTATCCCACGTTAAGCTGGATTCCAGAACGTGGCTTGTTGAGGGATAATTAATGAATAAATTATGGGCCTGATCTGGTGTAATTTTTTTTTTAAATCCTCATCCGAGGATGTATTCTTCCATTTATCTTCAGATAGAGTGGGAGGGAGGGGGGAGAGAGAGAAAGAGAGAAAAACATCAATGTGAGAGGGACACATCAACTGGTTGCCTCCCACACGACCCAACCAGGGCCGGGGACAAACCGCAACCAAATTATGTGCCCTTGACCGGAATCGAACCTGCGACTCATTGGTCTGCAGGCCGACATTCTAACCACTGAGCCAAACTGGCCAGAGCTCATCTGGTGTAATTTTGAAAAATGACGGGGACTACCGAAATTATTTGATAGAGTAACTTGAGGAACAAATCCATCGACAACGTATTGTAACTACTTGACTTAGATGTTTTAGACGGCTGCCTGGTCAGGGAAAAGCTTGGAGTGGTCCCCCTGACGCGAGACCTGGAAGGGGAGGACAGACCCTTCAGCAGAGGCCGCGCCGCCTCTGTCCGAGCAGGTGCTGCAGGCAGATTCGAGGGTCCATGCTGCCTTCTGAGGTTGTCAGTGGCTGCTGTTTGGGTCACCATTAAGGGGAGATGGAGAACTTTACCGGAGCGACTGTCTTTCTGAAACTGTAAACATAACTGTCTACCTCAAGCAGAGCTACCTGAACCTAAGCCTTTCCAGAACTGTCGAAGACAGCACTGCTCCCTGTCTTCAGGGACGTGTGCTTATTCAGGGGGGGCGTGTCTTCAGGACCTGGTGCTTGTTATGGACAGAGACATGCTGTGTATGTGGGTGTTTTTATCAATAGGTGGCGTTTGGACGGAGTCAGTGTGGGAGGGTTCAGCGGAAAGTGGTTTACGAGAACGACATGCTCAGCGCTTTTATTTCTTTTCCCTAAGCTATCTCCTGTGGGCACCCGGGTGTGCCGGCCAACGCCATCCTCACGGGAGACGTGTTCACCTTCGGGGCCACGGTCCACTACTCCTGCAAAGGGACCCACCGCCTCGTAGGCAACTCCACCAGGGTGTGTCGAGAGGACAGCCACTGGAGTGGGGCCCTGCCCCACTGCACAGGTGGGCGAGGGCACAGCAGGCGGGGTGGAGTACTGGGTACGGCACTTATCGTGGGTCACTGTTAGTCTATTTCCAGCCAGGTGGGCCTTCATTGCACATCACCATCCCTTCTTCATCACCCCGCAGCCACTGTACATCCTGGTTCACCCCCTGGAGGCCCAGGAGATCCCGCCGCCCTGGCTGAGATGCTCGCTTGCTTTGGCTCTGTCTGCCCCTCTGTGCTCCATCTTTTCCTGTGTTTGCTCTGAGTTCTTCCATGTGTCCCCATCTCTATAACGGGTAGTTACACTGACCTGCCTGGAAAAAAGTAACCATCTTAGTGCTTCCATGAATGTCTCTTAAATAAATAAAGTGCAGCAAGTCCGCAAATCTGGGTGTAATTCATGAGAAGCAGACCTCCCATTCGACTGATGTTTGCCTTCCATCCCTGCGCACTGAGCCGGCTGCCCTTCGCATTTGCCCTGGTGATTCCGTGGGGACCCTGCGTCTCCTCCCAGAGCCGCATGCCGTCTGAGGAGCACCGGTCAGTGCCGTGGCCGCCTCTCAATGAGCAGTTGTCAGTTCAGTTGCATGGAATAGAACCTTTCCCACAAGACTGCCAAGGCGCCTGCAACTGTGACCACTGTTCAGTGCACTGAGATTCAGTTTCCTCCTCTTTCCGCGATGGCTCTGTTTTCAACACATCTAACCGCGCTCTGTGTCACCTTGTGTGTTTATGTTCGATAGGAAACAATCCTGGGTTTTGTGGTGATCCGGGGACCCCAGCACACGGGTCTCGGCTTGGCGATGAATTTAAGACAAAAAGCCTTCTCCGCTTCTCCTGTGAAATGGGGTACCTGCTGAGGGGCTCCCCCGAGCGCACCTGTCTGCTCAATGGGTCGTGGTCAGGGCTGCAGCCTTTGTGTGAAGGTGAGTTCCTTGGAGTCTGAAAGCCAACCTTATGCTTAAAACTGTGTGGTCTCTCCAGTGACCAGGCACGTTGCCGACGTCCTGGCGGTTGAGTTGTTGTACAGCAAAGCTGTTCCCCAGAGAGTCCCTGAGACACAGGAGCGAACATACGGAGATAGGCTGACCGCTCCCTATGGACAGATGCAACCAGGAGTCTGCGGGCGGGTCTGTGGTAGAAGGGGCGCGAGCACAGACCCGATTCCAGGGAGTCACGGTCGATGAGCCCTGTGTCCTGGCACAGGTCGGGGACCGTCATCGTGTACGCGAGCTCCTGCCACGTGAGGTCCAGTCCAGCCTTGGGTGAGTGGTGTCTCCACACACCTGTGAGACGGCCCCTGGACCTCCACAGGAGTGGATTTTATATGCTGTGTACACTTCACAGTTTGTTTCCTCCCGTATTCTAAGAAGTGTGTACCTTTGTCCTCAAGGCTGGATCTGAAAGTGGGCCACTAGATGGTGAGAGTGTTTTCACATAGTCAGTCGTTCTCAGAAACGGTCTCATGAGACTCCGTGTTTCCAAAGTACAGCCAAGAGTCACATCTAGACATGCCTGCTTGCTTCACAGTACAGTGGGGGGCAGGGAGGGAAGGAGCCGCCTTTATGGGGAACGGGATCAACCGAAAGCCTGTTGCAGGCTGACATCACCACCTGTCTGCACACCCAGCAGCGCGGTCCACTTGTTAGCAGAGCAGGGGACACGAGAGACACATGGGTGCAGACCAGCTGCGTGGCCCTCACTGGCAGGGCCTAATGCCTGCACCTGGTGTCCGCTCATCTCCAGAGAAACATCAAGGGCAGCCAGGCCACACCAGTGGGCCCAGTGGCCGAGCTTCTGCACCACGAGACCGTTCACCAAACAGTTCAAGTGTACGCGGTCACGTCCCTCAGGCATCCCCGATTTTCCAAAATGAATTGTCTCCCAGGTGTAAAATATGACCTGATTTGCACAGATTTAAAATGATAAACAAACTCGGCTCGCCTGTGATGGGAACCACTTTCGAGTCGCTCACGTGTCGTGGATCCTGAACATCATCCTTCCGCTCTGTGTGCGAACGTGTCCAGTCTCAGCGCAGGGAGCCCTGCTTCGCAGGAATGCGCTTTAGAATGGGCACTGTGAGAACGTGCTCTTCTTGTCGCCACTCAGCAGCAAGGTCACGGTGTGGTGGAAAGTAAACACGCGTCCAGCGCCCTCCATGGTCACAGGACCCGGGTTCCTTTTCCATCACCATGTCATCTGTGGCACGGATGGTGGCCTTCGGCCTCTGGCATTCAGAGGCCTAGGAAGGGTCACTGTCTGTGTCTTTGCTCCCTGTGCCTCCCAGCTGTGTCCTGCGGGAACCCCGGCACACCCCCCAACGGCATGATTGTGAGCAGTGACGGCATCCTGTTCTCCAGCTCGGTCGTCTACGCCTGCTGGGAGGGCTACAGGACCTCGGGGCTGATGACCCGGCTCTGCACCGCCAATGGGACCTGGACGGGCACAGCGCCTGACTGCACAGGTTGGTGACTGCCGGCACGTGGCCCGGGCACAGTGCGTGACACCTGCTTCCGAGAAAACAAGTTTCCGTCTAAGTGTGGTGCTGGGTTTCTAACACACAGAGAAAAGGGCACCGTAGGTTTGCAATTTTATCTATTTACTGGATACTTGTAGATCTTTTTCTTCACTTTGTTATTTATATGGTTGAAATTAACTTTCATGGCCAGTTGGGCTGGATGTCATCAAACTGAGGCCAAATATGGTCAGAGTTTGCTGTCTCCGTCGGCCACGTGGACTGCGGGGAAGGGAGAAGGTGTGGGTTCTCTGACGGCAGACTCTGCCCTTCGCTTTGCGGTGTGATGGCCTCGCTGCCCATTGGGGAGCAACGGGCGGGCACAGCTTCCCACAGCCAGGCACGGGTGGAGTGGAAGCGGGATCCGAGCTCGGGTGGGCAGACCTGCTCCTGCACCCGTCCACGGAGCACCACCTTGGACAGGACTTGAGGGCAGTGACCAAACAGAAGCGTGACCAGGTCATTTCATAGTAACGCTGAGTTTGCTTCTTGTTTGTTTCCTGCGTGCTAGTTGTCAGCTGCGGAGACCCAGGCTCACTGGCCAACGGCGTCCAGTTTGGGACCGATTTCACCTTCAACCAGACCGTGAGCTACCAGTGCAACCCCGGCTACATCATGGAGCCTGCCACGTCGGCCACCATCCGCTGCACCAAGGACAGCACGTGGGACCCCAGCAAACCTGTCTGCAGAGGTTTGTGTCCTTGCCCTGTGGCTTTAGTTTCACACAGAAGTCTTGACTGAGCTGCATTTCTTTTCAGTTTGTAGGCATGAATGCGGTCCTTAGAGGCCTGGGGATTCTTCTGAGCTCAGTGCAATTATTGAATCACTTGATTCTCTATTTTTTGCAAAACAATTGAAATGGCTAATACTGAAAGGTGCACAGCCTACTGTTAAAAAACAAAGTAGCGAATTTGCCATTGCCACAATTTAACATGTTTCACTGGGACAGAGGACGCCTCAGCACCACCTGGTGTGATTTCAAGTGTAATGAGCTTTCAGGGATTTTACCCCACTTCTGAAGCCGGCGGAAGATTCAGAGCAGCACGCAGCACGCAGCGGCAGCTGCCGTTCCGTGAATCTCGAGACGAAAAGAGAGCTAAGTAGACACGCAAAGCTCAGTCCACTCTTGGTGCTCTCCCTCCCCAAGTGACGGCCGGGGACGTGTCGGACAGACAGGAGGGGCGGGCAGGACGGCGCTCCTGCTCCGGACCCGGGCACGATGCTTCTCTGTGTCAGACAGCCCCTTACAAATAAAACAGCGCCAGGTTTTCCCCACTGAAGTCGTTTGCTTTCTGGGAGAGATTTTAAATTCGAAGTGACTCATTCCTATTTCTGCCTGAACAGAAATAAAGATCAAATAATACCTTCAAAACCAAGACGCCTGGGTAAACAGACAGAGAGGCTATAATTAAAATGGAATTGAAGTTTAAAAACCAAACAGGCGTCCTGCACCAGCGTCCTCCGAAACGCTTGCCGGTGGGTTTGGCGAAAGGCTCTGGGGAAGGGAGGAGACACAGGCAGCGGGGAGATGCCGGAGCAGCGGGTCCCTTTGACAAGTGTCCTGGCAGACAGACACTTGGTGTGAGAGAGGCCGTCCGTGTACAGAGGGAGAGGCTGTCATGTGGTGTATGACTGTCTCCGACGGTCACCAGAAAGCTCCCTGCAGCTGTCCTCGAGCCCGCGCTGGGGAGTGTCGGGAGTTCCCACGGCAACTCGGGACTTGGTTTTGGAGGTCTAGGGCCCCAGGAATTCTGCTTGGTTTTTGTACGACGTTCCTCTCAGTCGTAGGATGCGAACGGGCACACAGAGAGCCCGGGCGCACTGGGTGGAGACAGCACTCCAACGACGGTTCGCCGCCTCCACGCCCGTGTTCTCAGCCCCGGGGTTTTCTCTCTCTGTGCACGTTGGCCCGGCTGTGTTCAGTCTTAGGCAGACGTGATGGGTAGAATTTAGACCTGGGAGAGAGGCTCATGTGGAATGATGACAGAGGTGTTGGCGCCGTGACATGTGTGGGATTCAGACGCTGACAGGGAGGCGGCCACACCGCCATGGAGATGGCGGGACAGTGAGACTCTCCAGGGACAGCAGAGCTGGCTGAATGGAGCCTGCCAAGTGGCTGAGTGACGTGGAGGGTGGGAAGGCTCTTGGAGGGACGAGGGACAGGTGCTGGCGGACAGGGTGACAGTTGTACGTGGACAGGGATCTCCGCAGGTAGGACTCCACCAGCAGAGAGTGGGCAGGCTTGCTTTCTTTTCTCTTTTTTTAAATTACTGATTTTGAGAGAACGAGGAAGGGAAAGAGAGAAAGAAACACTGACATGCTGTTCCAGTTACTGGTGCACTAACTGGTTGGTTGTTGCATGTGCCCTGACCGGCCATCAAACCCCCAACGTTGGCATATTGAGCCTACACTCTAACCCACTGAGCACCCGGCCAGGCTGCCGGCCATCAAACCCCCAGCGCTGGCATATTGGGCCTACGCTCTAACCCACTGAGCACCCGGCCAGGCTGCCGGCCATCAAACCCCCAGCGCTGGCATATTGGGCCTACGCTCTAACCCACTGAGCACCCGGCCAGGCTGCCGGCCATCAAACCCCCAGCGCTGGCATATTGAGCCTACACTCTAACCCACTGAGCACCCGGCCAGGCTGCCGGCCATCAAACCCCCAGCGCTGGCATATTGGGCCTACGCTCTAACCCACTGAGCACCCGGCCAGGCTGCCGGCCATCAAACCCCCAGCGCTGGCATATTGGGCCTACGCTCTAACCCACTGAGCACCCGGCCAGGCTGCCGGCCATCAAACCCCCAGCGCTGGCATATTGGGCCTACGCTCTAACCCACTGAGCACCCGGCCAGGCTGCCGGCCATCAAACCCCCAGCGCTGGCATATTGGGCCTACGCTCTAACCCACTGAGCACCCGGCCAGGCTGCCGGCCATCAAACCCCCAGCGCTGGCATATTGGGCCTACACTCTAACCCACTGAGCACCCGGCCAGGCTGCCGGCCATCAAACCCCCAGCGCTGGCATATTGGGCCTACGCTCTAACCCACTGAGCACCCGGCCAGGCTGCCGGCCATCAAACCCCCAGCGCTGGCATATTGGGCCTACGCTCTAACCCACTGAGCACCCGGCCAGGCTGCCGGCCATCAAACCCCCAGCGCTGGCATATTGGGCCTACGCTCTAACCCACTGAGCACCCGGCCAGGCTGCCGGCCATCAAACCCCCAGCGCTGGCATATTGGGCCTACGCTCTAACCCACTGAGCACCCGGCCAGGCTGCCGGCCATCAAACCCCCAGCGCTGGCATATTGGGCCTACGCTCTAACCCACTGAGCACCCGGCCAGGCTGCCGGCCATCAAACCCCCAGCGCTGGCATATTGGGCCTACGCTCTAACCCACTGAGCACCCGGCCAGGCTGCCGGCCATCAAACCCCCAGCGCTGGCATATTGGGCCTACGCTCTAACCCACTGAGCACCCGGCCAGGCTGCCGGCCATCAAACCCCCAGCGCTGGCATATTGGGCCTACGCTCTAACCCACTGAGCACCCGGCCAGGCTGCCGGCCATCAAACCCCCAGCGCTGGCATATTGGGCCTACGCTCTAACCCACTGAGCACCCGGCCAGGCTGCCGGCCATCAAACCCCCAGCGCTGGCATATTGGGCCTACGCTCTAACCCACTGAGCACCCGGCCAGGCTGCTGGCCATCAAACCCCCAACGCTGGCATATTGGGCCTACGCTCTAACCCACTGAGCACCCGGCCAGGCTGCTGGCCATCAAACCCCCAACGCTGGCATATTGGGCCTACGCTCTAACCCACTGAGCACCCGGCCAGGCTGCGGGCCCCGAGGATGCAGGTGAGGAACAGACACGAGGGTCTCGGAGCCGTCGGTGATCACATACATGTGGTCCTCACTGGTTCCTGGACCAGGAACAGAGAGCACTGTGGGTGGAGAGCGGGACGCTGGGAGGACTTGGTGAGCTGGGTGCCGTCTGCTATGGGCCCTGGTGCCACCTGACCCTGTGGCTGCGTCCCCGTCTGACGGGCGTGTGCTTGGGCGTCACTTTTATCACACCAGAGCGTACTGGGCGCGGTGCCTCCAGCTCCTTCCGCTCTGCTGTCCGCCGTGGTACATCTGTGTCATAGAGGCCCCCACTTGTTGGTCTAATGAACTCAAAGTCGTGGGGGGGTTCTGGTCAAACAGGCATAGGGATGATGAAGGTGAATAAAATGGCCCGGTGCCTGGGAGCCTTACAGACCTTCTAATTAGCATCCACTCTGTGGTCATCAACTCCACGCCAACCGGGCCATCCGATGAGACCTCTTCTCTCTTCCTGGTCACCCTCGTCATCCCTGTGTGGGAGCTGGGGCCTTTTCACAGGATATGACTCCACCTAGAGCCCAGCCCTCACCTAGGGGTTATTGAGACTTACCTATTGACACGTGTGAACAGACGAATGGAAGGTCAAATGGCCAGACCAGGGCCCATTCCCAGCGCTGGGTATGCATGTGTGCTGGCCTGTGTGGCTGGGGGTCTCCTCCCGGAGACGGCTTGGACGTGAGAGCACAGGTGAAAACGGCAGGTGAGTCTCTGCTGCTGCCTCAGGTGCCTTTGGCAGCCCTCCTGTGGGCAATCCAGGAAGCCTGTGGGTCTCTGGGGAGGACTTCGAGGGGTACTCACCCCCAGGCTTCTGGGCATAGGGGCTCAGTGCGGAGGCAGGCGGGGGGTCGGCCACCGGGCACCTGGGCCAGGAGGAGTGTTTGTTGTGCAGCCCACGCGACGCGGACACCAGCCTCCGGGGCAGTCCTGAGACCCTCGCCAGTGTGGTGTTTCAGAACCTTAACCATTCCGGGTTTGTCGTCCTAATTACTCAGAACATGGGTCAACCGTGTTCAGAAAGTATGTGCCATCTCTGAGTACAGAGAGCAGCACAGAACAGGAGAAGGGCTGACCATGTGTGTACATGGATTCTCGAGACGGTACTCCAGGCACACGGCCCAGCCCTGACCGGGCTTGTCCTCGTCACTGTGTGAGAAGACAGACGGCCGGGGGGTGTCTCCTGTCTGGGCTCGTGTGCACTGAGCACGTCAGGTTCAGTGCTCTCCTTACCCTGCGCCTTGCTTTCCTGCCCACCACCAGAATCAATGACGGAGCAGTAGGGAAAGCCTTCGTTATTTTCCGTCGCCGTCTGCCTTGATCACTCGTTTATTAAAGAAACGGAGTCTGTGTGGCTCCAGGCCTCACGCTGGGTGTCCCCACGCTGTTCTCTGCCTAGCGGTCCTGTGCAGCCCGCCACCGCCCGTGGCCCACGGAGCCGTGGAGGGATCGGATTTCCGCTGGGGCGCCAGCATCAGTTACAGCTGTGCGGCCGGCTACCAGCTGTCTCACCCCACCATCCTGTCCTGCGAAGGCCGAGGCGTGTGGAAGGGGGAGACACCCCAGTGCCTGCGTAAGTCTCCCCACACGACTGGCGCCGGGTCCCCTCTGTGTCAGCCCCAGCAGGAGCCTCAGGTCGGTCTGAGGAAACAGCATGTGTCATGGAGAGCCATGCCACATGGCAGAAGGCCCAGTGTGAACCTGCACTGCCCCGGGGGGGCTCTGTCCGTAAGCCGCTTGTCGATCCAATAGTTGCACCTGAAGATGGGACAGACCCGAGGTGACGGGCACTGGGGCGCCCGATCCGGGCCCACACCAGGCTGACCTCCTTGCTGTCCCCTTAGCTGTGCTCTGCGGAGACCCGGGCACCCCTGCAGAGGGCCAGCTTGCTGGCAGAAGCTTCACCTACAAGTCGGAGGTCTCCTTCCAGTGCAGGCCACCCTTCATCCTGGTGGGCTCCTCGAGACGCACCTGCCAGGCCGGCGGCTCGTGGAGTGGAGTGCAGCCCACCTGCATCGGTAATGCGGCCCTGGGCACTCGGGGGTGGGACGCGTCCCGCACCAGGCACGGGCGCAGTGTTCTCGGGTCGTTCCCCGTGTGCCTGCTCATCCGCCGGACTGACATGATGCCTTTCACACTGCAGCGAGGCTGGGGTTCGAGTCGGCAGCTGAACAGCTCTGAGACTGTGCTCTCTGGCCTCCGGTCTCCCCCTGTTTCCGCCATCTGATAGCTGCATTGTTTTAGTTAATCTTCCCGGGAGGATGGAGATATATATATATATACACACATTTTTTCCCATTGCTTTTTTTAAAGAGAGTAGAAAGGAGGGAGGGAGGGGAGAGAGAGAGAGAGACATCAGTGTGAGAGAGACACACTCTCTGCACACACACACCCCGATGGGGACTGGGTATTGACCAGCAACCCAGGTACACGCCCTTAACTGGGAATCAAACCCACTATCCTTTGGTTCCTGGGGCCAACGCTCTAACCACTGACCACACTGGCCAGGGCGACAGCTGCAGGCTCTATGGGACCAGCGAGTCCCTGCAGGCGTCATGACTGCCGTTCTCCAGGACGGCCCAGCTGGAGCTCGGCCAGGCCGAGGCTCTGCCCTCCTCAGCGCCCGCCTCTCCTATGACGTCCATCCCCGCGGGACCGGCTGGACCGCCAGCAGGGACAGCAAGGGTCACCAGGGCCCTGGTGTCCTGGGGACCTCCGAGCACGGAGTGACACCTGCAAGTCGGAGGAGACTTTCCACGTGTCCCGACCCCTCATTTGCAGAGTGACAGCTGCCACACAGAGGGTCCGGTAGAAGCTGTGTGTGAGCCACGCGGTGGCACAGAAACCAGAGCCTCATTCCCGCCCAGCAGTCCCCGGCCGTGGGCTCAGACGCGTTGCTGGGCCTGGGTCCACCTGTCCTGGGTGGAAGGGGGTCTGCTGGAAGCAGGTAGCCCATAGCAATGTTGTTTCTGAGTTACTGAAGGACACCTGCTCCAGCATGAAGGCCGCGCGGGGAGCGACCCCAGGGCCGCCCTGGTTCCGGCTGAGCTCACGCCCTTCGTTCTTGCGCGTGCTCTGGGCTCCCCCTGCCCCAGACAGACGGACGTTTCTGCCCGGACGGTCCTTCCCCTTGAAAGCAGATTCTTTGACGTTCCCCAGCAGCTGATGGGAATCAAACAGTCAAGCTTCACGCTTCCTGAGGGCTCAAGCCCGATGTCGGGGGGTTGCTGTGGGTCAGCCGCTGGCTCCCATTTTGATGAGAAAATAGAGGTCCTCAGTTCTGAGGACCATTGAATGATGTTATGGATGACCAGAGGAGATGGCCATTCATTGGATCCTTAAAAAGCAAAGGGTCATTGCCCAGCCAGTGTGGCTCAGTGGTTGAGCGTCAGCCCTGCACCAGGAGGTCGCTGGTTCAATTCCCGGTCAGGGCACATGCCCAGGTTGTGGGCCCGATCCCCAGTGGGGGGCGTGCAGGAGGCGGCCAGTCAATGTTCTCTCATCCATGTTTGTATCTCTCTCCCTCTCCCTTCCCCTCTCTAGAAGCAATAAAGAAAGAAAATGTGTCAAACATTCCCCCAGACAGTGAGGAGGGTGTGCGGTGCCGCTGTGGACGCCGCCCGCCCTGCGGGGAGGGGAGGGCAGCACGGAGCAGCCGCCTCCCGCACAGGCCCTGGGAAGGAGGCAGAGCAGCCGTTCACTCCCATCCCTGCTTCTCATACAGGAAATCTTCACGCTTGTCAAAATGCGATGTTCTCAAGCATGAGACCTTTTAGCAGAAGGTTAGAATCCTGCATTGACCGTGTCTGGACTCTGTTTCTGTTTTGTGACTGTCCCTTCCAGATCCTGCCCATAACACCTGCCCAGACCCTGGAACCCCACACTTCGGAATTCAGAACAGCTCACGAGGATACGAGGTATTTCATTTTCATTTTACAACATTTTTTCTATAAGTATAACATGTAATTGATACCTAAACATAGGTTTATGTTTCCGTGTACCAGTTCTGGTGCATGTCCTGTTTGCCCAAATGAAATTCATTCAGGCACAATTTATTTCTGTGTGGTGTGTTAACTGGCAAATCTGAGTTGACTGTGCCGTCATAATTCACACGGAGTCATTGCTGTATCCATTTCTATTTGGAAACGTGCACGTGTTCTGTTTCCTGTCTGCCGAACCGACACGATGCTTCTCAGATCTGGGCGAGGCGTCACTGATGAGCTACACAGCAAAGGGCCCCACTTAGTGACCCAACATAACGGCAAACATTTAAATTCTAGAGACAAAAACAGAAGAAAACACACCTAAGCCCCTTAGGCAAGATTACTTGGGGGTACCTCTTTCCCGAGGATCTCCTAAAACTATTCAAAGTTACTTCAATGTGTAAATAAAAAGCACATTAACACTTCAGAGATATTGGAGGGATCCCCAGCAGCGGAGAGCAGCAAAGCTTAACACGAAACGTCTCAGCCACCCTGAGTCAGCAGGGGCTGCGGGGCTCCGGCCGCCGGCCCTGGGAGCAGAGGCTCCGTGGGTTTGCTGCCCTTCGTCCGTCTCCTTCAGCCTGCTGCTGAGACCGCGCCCACTCGGAGTGAGCCCGCTCCGTCTGGGACCCCTGTGCCCTAGGCTGTCAGTTACACAACAGGCGACTGGCTCCCCCTCAGCTGGCCACATCCCGTGAGCTCACAAAGCCGGTTGGTTCACAGTGTCCCCGCTCGAGTGGCAGGTGCGTCCTGCGGAAAATGCTGTGCTTGCGACGGGCACCGTGTGCCCTTCCCGCCAGTGAACGGTGAAGGCCCACGTGTCTGCTGGTCGATGCCGGCAGCCGCCCGCCGGGGCCTCCCTGGGCTCAGGCATGCAGGGGAGGGACGGAGGCCACTCTGACCCACCTTGGAATCTCAACCAGCTGTCCATTCGAAGTTGACAGAAACGCACGTTTTTGCAGTGAATTCTGACTTCTCTGTGTGGTACCAGTGCTGAGAAGCAGCTGCGTTTCCCTGACTTTCCACATCAGTATTCAGCGTAGCAGCTACTGCTTGTGTTTTACCCAGATCATTCTTCCCGGCGTCTCCGTGAGGGGTTGGTGCCTGACCCAGCAAGCGCTGAGGACCCAGCGTGAGGAGGTTAATGCCCAGAGCAGGGACCATGATGGTTGCAGACCGGTCACTTACATGGCTTCCTGATTGAAGCCACAGGACACGGCGTGGTCCGAGCCCCCACAGAGCTCCGTGCAGACCTGAGCCACCTCTGGGTCTCTGCCTTCTCCCATCCCCAGGCGCTGGTCTTCTGTTCCTAATATGAGTGAGCGCTGGTGCCCTCCACCGATGGCCATGACTCGTGCTCTAGATACATGTTTGCCGACCCCTGGGGACTCTCCCCGGTGCCTGCAGCCACATTAGCAAACAGACAAGCGGGCAGCGAGGGTCGCTGTCCGGAGAGATCTCGGGACACAGAGGAGCTGCCGCCAACCCCTTCCTGCAAGACCGGGGAGGATGCCCAGAGAGAGGGACACTTGGCAGAGTCTTGGGATGTCAGGGATGTCAGCTGGCAAGGGTCTGGCGGGAGATGTGTCAGCAGTAACGATGTGACGTGTTTGACGCTAGAGGACAGTAGACTTTGAAGGGAGCTGAGAGAGAACAGGAGGTGGCCAGCTCCCAGATGCTAACAAAAGTAATTTACTAGGACATATCCATTGCTTAAAGTGGGGCGGCGTGAAAGAAATTGTTACAACTGATGCGAGGTGAGGCTGAAAGGAAAGAGAAAACGTACGCTCCCAAGCACACTGCCAAAACACCCCCCCACATGGCCAAAACACTGCCAAAACACACCCCTAAAACACTGCCAAAACATACCTCACACACATGGCCAAAACACACCCCCCACACATGCCAAAACACCCCCCCAAAACACTGCCAAAACACCCCCAAAACACTGCCAAAACACCCCCACACACGGCCAAAACACCCCCAAAACTCTGCCAATACACACCCCTAAAACACTGCCAAAACACACCTCACACACACTGCCAAAGCACACCCCCAAACACACTGCCAAAACACCCCCCCAAAACACTGCCAAAACACACCCCCAAAAACACTGCTTCAGGACTGCAGCTCATGGGGCCATGTGCTCAGTCACCATTGCGTGACCTGCAGGGCCTGTGACACGTGGATCACAGGCGCGTGGGGCTCACCCTGCCCTGAGGTTAGGGGGAGATGTCACGACTATCCTGTCCACCCAGACGCGCGGCCTTGCGGGTGTCCGTCTGTGCCGCCACTGAGCTCACGCTGGGTCTGCTTCCAGGTGGGGAGCACCGTGTTCTTCAGGTGCAGGAAAGGCTACCACGTCCAGGGGCCCACCACGCGCACCTGCCTGGCAAACCTGACGTGGAGCGGAACACAGACCGAGTGCATACGTAAGGGGCGGCCGGGCCCGTGGCTGGGGAGGTCCCGGGAGTCCTGAGCAGCTGTCTCCTGTGCCTTGTGTGGTGGCTGTAATTCCCTGCACGGCTGTTTCTCAAGGGCTGATTTCCTAGAGTAGCAGCTTCCGCCTGTCCTGGGGCACAGACCGGCTGCGTCAGAAGCCCTGGGAGCTGGGGCGGGCAGGGGCAGGGTTCTGGTGCACCTGGCCCTCCAGGGTCCTGAGGCACTTGAGGTCTGAGAAGCCGCCCTAACCCTTCCCTACAAGGGACGTGTGTCGACACTCGGGGAAAGTCTGCATGGTGGCTCCAGATCACCAACGAGGGTAGAGCGGGTGGCGGATGGTGTCAGGATTAGCAGAAAGGGTTGGAATGTGCTTCTTGAAGTCCCCATGACTGATGTTCCCGTAGTGCTCAGGGTCCAGCTGGTTTCATGACTGACAGTGGGCGCTGGCGGCATGCCGGGCGGAGGGCTCGGAGGTCAGCCCCTCATCGGCCGAGCGTCTTACTCTGGCCGTCAACACAGGAGCCGCTTAACTAACGGTGCAAAAGTCACTTCATTAGCATATAAGATATGATTTGGGGTATTATGAGATGTGTATCTATTTCAAATCTATCAGCTTGAAATCTCAAATCATGTATGAGTTGTTTTATACACATGTATGTGTGCGTGTGTGGTTCCCTAACAAAATCTTCAGCATGTTGAAAGTTTGCTGAAGTACAGAATAGTATGACCCATGAAACGATTGCATTCACAACATGGATATGTCTATTTACTTTATAATAATCCGCCAGGTCCTGTACTGGAGACACGCAGGTGAACTTTATAAAGAGTGAGAAGTTATTTGCGATCTAAACATTGCAATCTTGTTCACTCCTAAATCATATTTTGAAAGGAAATAGTGTTCTGCAGTCATTCAACTGCTAAACACACATCACATTTTTACCAACATTGATTCTTTATTTGACTAAATAGTAAATTTGTGTGTTGCCTTCAGACAGAAATCGAAGCCTATTTCTAAACACGTGTCCATCTGTGTGTTTAGTTGACAGGAGGGTCTTTCAAAGAAATGGAGCATGTTTATCTTGATGGTACATCAAAAGTGATCTGTTTATCTCAAAGCGATGGTTTCTACTCTAAATTTCTACACATAATTACACACTCATTTTTAGAGAGGAAGCTATTTATATGGATAGACAGAAATAGTCAAAAGTAGGTTTACAATTATTTACATGGAAAATAATGCAAATTAATAAATAATCATACAAGAATAAACTCTGTATTTTGCGTACTCACGACTGTGAACCTACCTTTCTGTGTGCATATATATTTGGAAGGAGAGACAGAGACCAAGGGACAGATGAGGAGGGAGGGGTGACACACCAGCCATCACGATATTGAAGACTGCACAGGGGGACAGGGATGCTGGTGATGTTTGGGTGATACTGTATCACAGTTTTAAATTGTAAAGTAACTATGTAGCTATTTCCAAATCCTTGCCCTATTTCTTTGTTTCTTTGGGCCCATATGTGAAGCTCATGATCACAGTTTCCGTGATTGCTAATGGAATGCATGCCTTCCAGCTCACGCCTGCAGACAGCCAGAGACACCAGCCCACGCAGACGTGAGAGCCATGGATCTCCCCTCCTTCGGCTACACCTTAGTGTACACCTGCCATCCGGGCTTCTTCCTGGCCGGGGGGTCTGAGCACAGGACGTGCAAAGCGGACATGAAGTGGACAGGGAAGTCCCCTGTCTGCAAAAGTAAGTTGCTGCTGAGGACATGCAAACACCACCCACAGAGTGGAGGGGCATGCAGACCACCGTCAGGCTAGTATGCAGGCCGAGTCCCTCAGTGAGCACGGCCTGGACATGTGCCCCCCAGTCTCCGTGTGTCCTGTGCGTGGGCCGTGTGTGGACGTGTGTCAGTAAGTGTTCGATGCTCCGGAGGCAAAGGCCAAGGAGATGTGCGACTTCACTACCTTCTAATCACAGCGTAGCCCAAGAGAAAAGCTGCATGGTTGAAGAAAAGCCTTATGAGTTAAAAGAAAAACATACATATTTTTGGAAAGTGTATGTTTTAGTGAAGATGGAGCGGTGCCATCCCGTCCTGGCAGGGGCGGAGCTGACCTGTTATTTTAGACCACGAGCTGTTTGGCGGTGGAATAAGCTTGTTCTTGGCACTGCTCCTACTTTTTAAATCACAAAAGCAGTTGACATGGAACCGATGCACTAATTACACACACTTGGTGTGCTGACAAGGGAGAGTAACTGTTCTGGGGTGGACAGCAGACTGGTTCCCACCGAGCTCGATGTGTGCACCTTGCGTACCAGACACTGTTGGTGAAGACCTGGGAGTGTGACTCTGATCGTGGTTCCTGGACCTCAGTTATAGTTCCGAGGTTAGGGGCGTGAAGAGTGACAGTTTGCCTTTCTCTGTCAGAGACAGGAGTAGACAGACCCGAAGGATGGTCATTGGTAGTTTGATACAAAACCAGAAAAGCTAAGAGAGTGAGTTAAATTCAACTTGATAAACCAAATTAAAGGTTCGGCAAGAGACACGACCAGGTGTTCGTGAATATTCACATGCAAGTTCATGGAGGCAGGTGGGACCTCATCCAATGATGGGAGGTGTTGACACCTTAGCTCTGTGTCTGCTACTTGTCAGGTGGGGACAGCAGATCCCACATGAGGGTCGGAAAATGGACAAAAACCACCCTCGTTTGCACAGCTGTCTGTGGTAGCACAGTGTACGGGAGCACACGCAGGTCCACATGGGTTTGCAGGGCTCTGCGGTAGCGCAGTGGACGGGAGCACACGCATTCCACACGGGCTTGCAGGGCTCTGCGGTAGCGCAGTGGACGGGAGCACACGCAGTCCACACGGGCTTGCAGGGCTCTGCGGTAGCGCAGTGGACAGGAGCACACGCATTCCACACGGGCTTGCAGGGCTCTGCGGTAGCGCAGTGGACGGGAGCACACGCAGTCCACACGGGCTTGCAGGGCTCTGAGGTAGCGCAGTGGACAGGAGCACACGCAGTCCACACGGGCTTGCAGGGCTCTGTGGTAGCGCAGTGGACGGGAGCACACGCATTCCACACGGGCTTGCAGGGCTCTGCGGTAGCGCAGTGGACGGGAGCACACGCATTCCACACGGGTTTGCAGGGCTCTGCGGTAGCGCAGTGGACGGGAGCACACGCAGTCCACACGGGCTTGCAGGGCTCTGCGGTAGCGCAGTGGACGGGAGCACACGCATTCCACACGGGTTTGCAGGGCTCTGCGGTAGCGCAGTGGACAGGAGCACACGCAGTCCACACGGGCTTGCAGGGCTCTGTGGTAGCGCAGTGGACGGGAGCACACGCAGTCCACACGGGCTTGCAGGGCTCTGTGGTAGCGCAGTGGACAGGAGCACACGCATTCCACACGGGCTTGCAGGGCTCTGCGGTAGCGCAGTGGACGGGAGCACACGCATTCCACACGGGTTTGCAGGGCTCTGTGGTAGCGCAGTGGACGGGAGCACACGCAGTCCACACGGGTTTACAGGGCTCTGTGGTAGCGCAGTGACAGGAGCACACGCAGTCCACACGGGTTTGCAGGGCTCTGCGGTAGCGCAGTGGACGGGAGCACACGCATTCCACACGGGTTTGCAGGGCTCTGCGGTAGCGCAGTGGACGGGAGCACACGCAGTCCACACGGGCTTGCAGGGCTCTGTGGTAGCGCAGTGACAGGAGCACACGCAGTCCACACGGGTGTGCAGGGCTCTGTGGTAGCACAGTGGACGGGAGCACACGCATTCCACACGGGTTTGCAGGGCTCTGCGGTAGCGCAGTGACAGGAGCACACGCAGTCCACACGGGCTTGCAGGGCTCTGTGGTAGCGCAGTGACAGGAGCACACGCAGTCCACACGGGTGTGCAGGGCTCTGCGGTAGCACAGTGGACGGGAGCACACGCATTCCACACGGGTTTGCAGGGCTCTGCGGTAGCGCAGTGGACGGGAGCACACGCATTCCACACGGGTTTGCAGGGCTCTGCGGTAGCGCAGTGGACGGGAGCACACGCATTCCACACGGGTTTGCAGGGCTCTGCGGTAGCGCAGTGGACGGGAGCACACGCATTCCACATGGGCTTGCAGGGCTCTGCGGTAGCGCAGTGGACGGGAGCACACGCATTCCACACGGGTTTGCAGGGCTCTGCGGTAGCGCAGTGGACGGGAGCACACGCATTCCACACGGGTTTGCAGGGCTCTGCGGTAGCGGAGTGGACGGGAGCACACGCAGTCCACACGGGTGTGCAGGGCTCGGTGGTAGCACAGTGGACGGGAGCACACACGGGTTTGCAGGGCTCTGTGATAGCGCAGTGGACGGGAGCACACGCAGTCCACACGGGTTTGCACGGCTCTGTGGTAGCGCAGTGGACAGGAGTACACGCAGGTCCTCACAATTTTCTCTGGGAAGCAGCTTTTCCCACAGACACGGAGGACTCTGTTGGGAACACATGGGGTGTTGAGGTGGCCGTGTCTGAAACACTCACGGAATCCAGAGAAAGAAAACGGCTTCAGTTTGACCTTTTTTCTTTCAAACGTATTTCAAAATAAATGTTTTTTGAAAATGACAGTCTATCTTTTTACTTGTAGGTAAAGGAGTGGGAGAAGTTAATGACACAGTTACTAAAACTCCAGGTTTGTATCCCAGACCAGTGGTAGCGTTGCCCAGCCCGGCAGACTGTCTGTGCGCTCTGAGCAGCGAAGCTCACTTTCTGACGCCGCCAGTGCACGAACACGTCCACGCCCACGCCAGTGCACACACCAGGGCTGCACACATCTGTCCTTCCAGGACGGGTCGTGGGGTGACAGGATGACAGGACAGCCTCTGGCACCAGCACACGGGGCTCCCTGGCAGGAGCCGCAGGCAGAAGGCAGAGTCGGTGGCAGATGTTGTGTGGTGGAGCCTTATGCAGAGGGACGCGCCCTCCTCAGGGGCCGCGGGTCACACGTGCAGCTCACACGCGGCTCCGTGTTCTCCCAGCGCCTCCCCGAGTCAGGCGTCCTCTGCCTCCTGAGACGTGAGCGTCACTTTTCCTTGTTGTAGGGCCAGAGGCACGACCCGCCCGGTGGGCAGGTGCGGCCATGGCCCCGCGGAAGTGGTTCTGGCCCCATGCCCACTGCGTCCCACAGCCGCGTCACAGCCCGGAGAGCATGTCGGTGACACCGTGCGTCCCCGGGCTATGTCTAAGTGGAGGTTTTTTCTCATGGACATAGATAACCTTGGTCAGTAGATGAGGCCACTGTCTCCGTGTTTCGTGACTCGGGTTTTACGGGCTGCTCAGGTCCGGAGCAGGGTGATGCCGTGGCTGGTGACACACTGCATTCTTGGACAGGCAGAGCGTCCAGCCGGGCTCAGGGGTCTCTCCAGTGCAGACCACAGCGTCTGAAAACGGCTCCAGGAGAATATTTCGGCTGTTCTGTTTAGAAGTTGCTCACAGATCACGTGCGGAGACCAGCACTCTGCCCAGGCAGCTTGTCTCCATGGACGAGAACGCCTGTGGTGTGGGGGCGGGTTGGTGTTGCTTGATAATTTTTGGTTTCAGATTTTGAAATATGGGCATTTTTTTTAAGGTGCATGTATCCTCACCGCTACACCTTGCCTCGTTCTGAAGCAAAGTGCTGAGTAACATGGTCATCAGGGCGCAGGCTCTGATCTGTCCTGCTGTCGCCTGTACTGCCCACTGCCAGCTGCAGGCTGAGTAACATGGTCATCAGGGCGCAGGCTCTGATCTGTCCTGCTATCGCCTGTACTGCCCACTGCCAGCTGCAGGCTGGTGGCAAGGACTCCGAGCGGTCATCTCCCCACATGACCGATGGTCACACTCAGATACGAACCAGCCACTTCTCAGACCCTGTTCACTCCCTGCTCACCGTCACCCTGATCCCCCACCAAGTGTAACCTCAGTGAACAGCGTCAGCAAACACAGTAACAGCGTCACCGAGTGCATAAATCCTCATCAGGGAAAGAAAGCATTCTGATACTATTTCAAAGGCTGCGCTGTTCATTTTAGTGAGGAAAGTGTGTCCTGGGGCTGCTGGTCACGCTGCGCCTCTGAGCTGCTGCTGGAGGAGGCAGCTCCTGATGCCCGTGACCAGTGAGCAGACGCACCAGGTGCCCGGCTGCGACGTCAGCCTCATCTCATCTGATTTCTAAAATCATTATCATTAGGAGGTGGGGCCACTTGAGGCCACAGGACTGGCACCACGCTGTCCTCGTGTGAAAAGTGTGGCCAGGCTGTGCCCGCAGGGTTGGCCCCCAGACAGGAGACGGGCCTCGGAGACGACGAGAGAAGCGTGACCGCGGGCACGTCTGGGTGCCCCAGTCCGATGCTCGCAGTGGGCTGCAGGCCAAACAACGTGATTGGCCAAACCCACTTCCCGTGAATCTCGTCCCGTTATCCGGGGGCCCCTCCCGTGCAGGGAGAAAGGAAGCAGTGTAACACCCGGTCCAGCTTACGTCAGCCACCCTGGGAGTTTTGTACTGAAAATGGCAGGTGTCGTACACATCTGCCTGCAGAGATGTGAAAGAGATAGGTTTCCTTCCGTCACCAGTGAGGAGAGAGAAGATGCCTCAATAACCCTTGCAAGTTCTTCTGTCCCAGGTGAATTTTAATTTTTAAAAGTTTTTTTGCCTTTTCTCTCTGAGTTTTCTACGTACGTATGCTACGTGACACCATTTAACCTGACTTGTCACTGGTGGCAGGACATCTTCACGGGGGGCTTGGAGAGGAGGGGGGCAGGGCCAGCTCAGTGCGCACAGTGAGGACCGCAGGGAGCAGAGACCGGGGCCCCAGGCTGGGCCTCTGTTTCCAGAGGGGCGAGAATCACAGGCTGTGAGGCGGGGGATCCTGACCCGCCTGTCACACACAGGTCAGCTCTCCTGGCCCCCATCTTTCAGCGAGTAGAGTGGACGTAAGGGAAACATCATTTAACGTATTTCTTACTAAGCACGAAAGTCTGCCCTGACGTGGGTGGGCCGGTTAGCAGGCACTGGGTCCCTCAGCAGGTCTGCTCTGCACCTGAAATACTCCGCCCCCGACAGGCGTGTCCGCCCACCCGGGGTCGCCTTTTACTTGCTGTGGAAGGTGCGCATTCGGGCACCTCGTCTCCACCACTGTCCTCACGTGTGGTGTCTCCCCGAAACGTCTCCTGCTGTGTCGTGAAACCCGGACACGCACCTGTTGTGTGCCTCACACCCGCCTGTTTCTCCCGCCCGCAGTTCCTTCAGACGTGTTCTCTGTTAGCTCCGTGTGGAAGGGGCATTACGAGCACTTAGGGAAGCGACAGCCGGCCACGCTCACGGTGGACTGCTTCAACGCCACCAGCAGCCAGGTGAACGCCACCTTCGCCGCGGCCTCTCCGCTGCAGATGAAGCTGGCAGGTGGGTCCTGAGAGCGTCCAGCGCGGAGCACGGACGCGGGCTCTGAGCTCCCCCAGAGTGCCCGCCTGTCGGGGCGCCGTCCCGGACGCGGGCTCTGAGCTCCCCCAGAGTGCCCGCCTGTCGGGGCGCCGTCCTGGACGCGGGCTCTGAGCTCCCCCAGAGCGGCCGCCTGTCGGGGCGCCGTCCCGGACGCAGGTGCTGTTCAGCCATGGGGTCCGCTCCATACCCCTGCGGGTCATTTTCTCCGGTCACAGGTCATGCCAGCCAGTACAGAAGAGGGGATGAGTTTGCCCGAGACTGTGCACATAACAGCCACTTGGGGATGTGAGACTGAAGCCCAGACCTGTGTCTCTGGAATGTGTCCTTTGATGGAATTTCTTTCTTCTTTTTCTAACCCAGACTTTCACCCAGATATTCTCATGTTGGCACTTTTGCTCCTGGTGAGTTTCCAGGTCGTCCCACAGTTAATAGCAGCTTAGACATGCAGGCCGGCAGGAAGCTGTCACCCTTACGTTAGCCGTGCGATGCACGAGTTCTTAGGAAACACATTGTCTTTGCTGATTGAGAAGAGAGACCCGGGAAAACGGCCTCGCTCCCCATGGGCTTGGCCGCGGCAGCATCTGCATTCGGGTCGGGGCTGGGCCACATCCTGTGGGCACAGGCTCTCTTGTGCCCTTAATTTCCCTTCATCTCACCACTCGCAACTCTGTGTCCTCTTCGCAAATGGACTCCTGCTGGGTCAGACCCCCTGCAGCCAGCCTCTCACCCACGGCTGACGGCCACGTGACCTTGAGAAAGTCTGGTCGCAGACAGCTCACCCCTTCGTCCCCTCCCTCTGTGGCGTGGACGAGGACGGGCCTCACAATGGCGCCTGTCCCCTGGGCGTGGGGAAGGCAGGACCATCCCTACTGGGAGCCTTGTACAGGTCTGGGTTCATGGGTTTGTGGTCTGGGGGCCACACACTGCTTTGTACCCCAACCCTGTGAAGGTATCAATGACTTTGACCAGGTGCTCAGAATAACCTGAGAATTTTTTTAAAAATATTCCGATTTCACAGCCTCACCCAAAGGCATTACACGATAGTTATGTTCATGGAGTTTGCATTTCCCTTTTCCCGAAGGAAAGCTCCCACGTGAGGTTCATGTAAGTGGCCGTGGGATCCGTTTGGGAAATCTCGGCCCAGGACTTGGGGAGTGTGGTTCCGGCTTCCTGGCACAGGAACTGTGATGGGGAATGAGAGACACAGGAAGAGAAACTGACCCTTACCGAGTCCAGCCAGGACTCTGATTTCTGTGGGGTGTCCCTGTTTAATCAGCACAGACATAGTCATAAAAAGAGATCTTATCACCTCTGCCTACAGCGCATGGAACTGGGGTCTGGAGTTTTAGAGGGGAGATCGGACACCTCGCCTACCAAGTCGCCGATGGTGGACACGGACGCTGGGCAGACCCATGCCTCCGGGTGGCCATGGCTTCCCTCCTGCCCCACACACTCATTGCTGGAGATGATTTCTGGGACAGTAGAGTTTTGCTTCTCTGATTCGAATCAGAATGAACTGCTGCATTTTTTTTTCCTATTGATTTCAGAGAGAGAGGAAGGGAGAGGGAGAGAGGTGGAAACATGGATGAGAGAGAACATTGATTGGCCCCTCCTGCACGCCCCCCACTGGGGATCAGGCCCACAACCTGGGCCTGTGCCCTGACCAGAAATCCAACTGGTGACCTCTTGGTGCAGAGTCGACGCTCAACCCCTGAGCTCCACTGGCCTGGCTGAACAGCTGTGTTTTCTGAAACGAACAGTAACTGTCCCTTGAACCTGCCGTCTCTGCACAGGGGAAATCAGGTCATCACTGCATGTTGGTGTGTGTTCCCTCCGTGGGTGGGGGACTCTCTGTAGTTGCCAACAACCCCTCGTGGGCCAGCTGTGTCGTCCATGGGCCAGCGCATTGAACAGTTGTCTCGAGTTCACAAGCAGCAGGGGCGAGACTTCACTTTATGTCCAGTGTCTTCTGGGCTGCACAGGTGTGCGTTTGTGGCGTTAGGTTATACTCCTGTCCTTGGAATGGAGGACATTATACATTTAAAGATGCTGGATTTCAAAAACTAATATAATTGAAAGCATATTACTTTTATTCTTCCTGTGGGATAAACACGTTGGAAATTTCACTAATTGAAGTGGGCGGTGCCCATTCAAGATACAAAGACTTGAATAAGAAATGGTTTCAAGGAAAAAGTGCTGACGTGAAAGTAAAAACACAGTCATTTCCTCCTCTGTGACATTGCTTCTGACCCAGCTTCCGGGTCAGGAGGGCCAGTGCCTGGATGGCCGTGGCGTCCCTGTGACGTGGAGGTGCCATGGCGCCCCTGTGATATGGTGGCACCGTGGCATCTCTATGATGTGGTGGCACCGTGGCGTCCCTGTGACGTGGTGGTGCCGTGGCGCCCCTGTGATATGGTGGCACCGTGGCATCCCTATGATGTGGCGACCCTGTGGCGCCGTGGCGTCCCTGTGACGTGGTGGCCTGTGCCCATTCGCAGGGATCTACAAGAAGGAGGAGGCCCACCTGCTCCTGAGAGCCTTTCAAGTGAGAGGGGCGGCAGAGGTGTTCGGGAGCAAGCCGGAGAAGGAGAACTGGGGTCTGGACGGCTACGTAAGTAGTCTGGGTGCAGGCGGGCAGAGCACAGCCTTTCCGAGGCCCCTCTGCTCAGGGGGAGCCCCGGGAGGAGCGGAGGGCCTGGTTCTGCGCTGCGAGCCCACTGTGCCCCTGAGGGGCCTGGCCACGGCCCTCACCTTGTGCTGGAAGCAACCAAGTCCCACCCTGGTGAGAAGCACTTGCCCGAGGGCAAGTCCGCTGTTCCTGCTGGGGCCCCAGCCCGAGGGCAGACAGGTCTGTGCCCACTGACGCCACTTCGCCCTGGGGGGGTGGTGACCAAACTCCTTCCGAGGCCACTGTACCCTCTCTGGAGTTTCTGGAAAGGTCATGCCTAGTTAAGCAGGGGTGTCTGAGGGTCACTGACACTGCACCCAGCCTTCTGTCAGGTTAACCCCTGTGCTCCGATTCCTGATGGTCTAAGGGCACATGACCTCCTGTGCCGGTCGCCAGCCCACAGTGGTGAGGGGAGGTGAGTCCTGCGTGATGCAGGTCACTCATGGGTCCCTGGCCTCATCCCCTGTGCAAAGTCCTGCGTGATGTAGGTCACTCATGGGTCCCTGGCCTCGTCCCCTGTGCAAAGTCCTGCGAGATGCAGGTCACTCATGGGTCCCTGGCCTCGTCCCCTGTGCAAAGTCCTGCGTGATGCAGGTCACTCATGGGTCCCTGGCCTCGTCCCCTGTGCAAAGTCCTGCGTGATGCAGGTCACTCATGGGTCCCTGGCCTCGTCCCCTGTGCAAAGTCCTGCGTGATGCAGGTCACTCATGGGTCCCTGGCCTCATCCCCTGTGCAAAGTCCTGCGTGATGCAGGTCACTCATGGGTCCCTGGCCTCATCCCCTGTGCAAAGTCCTGCGAGATGCAGGTCACTCATGGGTCCCTGGCCTCGTCCCCTGTGCAAAGTCCTGCGTGATGCAGGTCACTCATGGGTCCTTGGCCTTGTCCCCTGTGCAAAGGAGATTTAAATGTTAACTATAAATGTTCCCCTGTAAGGAATGGCAAACAAATAAAATGTCCAACCTGCGATTCCCACATAAGAAAAGCGCAGTTACACAGCTAAAAGCAGAACCGCTCCGGACCGGTGAAGAATGCTCTCTTCCTGCTCTCACGCAGGTCTCGTCGGGACTTGAAGGAGGAGGATTCACTTTTCAAGGTGACATACGTGGGGACAACTTTGGAAAATTCAAGCTCGAGAGGCAAGGTAAGGTGCACCTGGGCGCCTCTCGAAGGGAGTGCAGGGCTGCCCTTCAAGCGGCCACGCTGAGAGCACGGGAGGCAGGGCCGCGGCCGGAAACGCGCAGGCGCACAGAGGTGGGAGGGGCCGATGCGCGGTGTGGCCAGTGACAAGAAGCACAAAGCAGTCAGTGTGCAGGTGGGACATATGTCCTTGCTACAGGGAGAGGGCTCCAGAATAAGGGGGAGAAGGAACAAGGAAATGCAAAGAGTTGAGCGAGCTACATCACCTAAGAAAATTATAAGAGAGATTAGAAGTCACCAAGCAGCAGTGGAAAGAACATCAATGTGTATAATACATAAAACATATATTATCACACAAAGACCATTTAGTCACCAAAATGTCAGAGGTTTTAGAGTGGATTCGGTAGGTAGTCGAAACAGGTGCAGGATGTTATGAGCAGATACATACAAGTTGGTGATACTCTTTCATCCAACGATTCTATCTTTAGGATTTTTAAAAATCCTCACCCAAGGACATGTTTTTTATTGAGTTTAGAGAGAGAGGAAGGGGGAGAGAGAGAAACCTCAATGTGAGAGAGAAAAATTGATTGGTTGTTGCCCCCAAATGCTCCCCAACTGGGGATCGAATTTACAACTGTTTTGTGCAGGGATGAAGCTCCAACCAGTTGAACCACGTGGCCTTGTCCATCTTTAGACTGTTTAACAGAAAAGTGTCAAAACTTGTTTAGGAGCATTTAAACCAGGAGTTTTAATAGTTGAAATTAGAAATAATCTCTACATTTTACACATCTATCATATACAAATTGCTTAAATTAATAACCGTATACTGTGCATTCAATAGAAAATGAGAATTTCATTTAGTATATTTCATTAAAGGAACGAGGGCTGTATATCAATGTGGAAAGACATTCGTGAGAAAACGTTCACCAGAGACAGACTGACAGATCCTCCCCCTTTCTCCATGTCTTTTTCCGCCACTTGACTTGGCCTGAGTAGCTGGAGGAGGGAAACATTGTGGTTTGCCACCTCGAGGAGTTACAATGTTGCAGTGTTACTTCTTCATCTACAGTTGGGGGAGGTCTTCCTGCTGCTGGGAGAGGAGACAGGACAGCATTCGCTCTGTGCCCAGCTCTTTGCCCAGCTCTGTCCACACACAGGTCCCTGCTGCTGTCCACACTGACGCCCACGACAGTGCGCGTCTCCGTGATGACGTCCGTGCTGCATTTCTCCTGGAGTGTAACCCACTTCCCAGGTCACTGGCACAGAACGAGGACATGTTGATGGAATGGAGAAGAATGTTGCCACAGGGCCTTGAGCAGAGCGCCTCTCGGAGGCCGGGAGGGCGGTGCCTGGTGCTCGTCACTGATGGGTTCTGTCACTGGGGAGATTTTATTGGGATGAGGGCTTCCCAAGGGAACGCACCAACTTCTGTATTGTCATCTTAAAACAATTTAATCAAAAAGGATAATTAGCCCGGCCAGTGTGGCTCAGTGGACGGAGCATTGTTCCATGGACTGGGAGGTCCGGGCTTGATACCCGGTCAGGGCACATGCCCAGGTTGTGGGCTCGATCCCCAGTGGGGGCATGCAGGAGGCGGCCAATAGACATTTCTTTCTCATCAACGTTTCTCTCTCTCCCTTTTTCTTTCTCTCTAAAGAAAAAATGATCAATAAAAACATATTTAATAAAAGGAAAGTTAATCATAAAACACTCGAATTGCACTGCTCCAAGCTCAGTGTTTCGCAGAAGAGCTTTAAACGATCCTGGCGGCAATGGCTGCGGTTTTGTTAAAAACAAGGCTGTTTTGTTTCTAGGTGACGAAACAGCAGAGTCATCTGCGCCGCAGGAACGACGAGTAACTTCTTTCTTGCTCTAACCAGATTTGGCAGCTAATTGTCCTTTCACCCTGGGCTCCTGCTCTGGTGATTTTCTTCCAGGACCCCTGGGGGCGGCAAGGGCTCCTGCAGATGTGTGAGCTCAGCCATCCGCTGAACCTGACCTGGACGTCACTGTGCTGCTGCAGATTCTCTGTGCATTGCCCTGTCTCCTTCCGGTTTCTTTAATAAGTAATCTCTATTCTCGTGTGATGATGGGCTTATTGTCAGGAAAAGCATTTGCTTCTTGAAATGATTCGAATCACAAGCAAGTCTCCCATTCAAGTAATTAGAGAAGTCTGTGTTAAGTGTTCACTGGGAAGCATCCCTCCAATCAAAAGTTATGGCTACACCCTGTCTTATGGGTAAAAACGAGCAACCCCTTAATCATCTCTCGTCGGAAGATAGACTGGAAAAAATGATTATCATTAAATGTATACTCAACGAAGTTGATTTGAAAGACAAGTCTAATGCGCAGACACAGGAACACGAAACGTGTGTTCTGTGGGGCAAGGAGCGGCTGCTGACCGTCGCCCGCAGGTGCAGACCTGCAGCAAAGGGTGTCACGGAGCCAGAGGGCCCGGAGACGGACCCGAGTGCCCTTCCAAAGTAGACCAGTGAAGTACACTCCGGCCCAAAGATTAGACCCGAGTCCTGTGTGCTGATGGAAGAGCCCACAGAGGTGGTCACGTTTAAAGCCCAGTACGAAGCATGGACACTGTGGCCCCATCTCTCAGAAAAGCAGCCGAGGAGCAGTCGTGTATTTTAATAGCACTCGGCGGGGAGGGCACTGAAAACACCAAAACCTGTGGCCTAGAGAGAGAAGGGCACCCTTCATGTTCATGGACCTTCTTGCTTATTTCCATCTCTCTCGGTGCCGTTTTGGTCAATGTCATTGCACGGATGGCCCTTCCATGCATTGAAACAAGGAACAGTGGGATTGACTAGGAGCCCCCGATGCCTGACAACTTCCTGGGAAGGTGGCGGCATGTTTCAGAGCCCGTCCCCTCTGCTGCTCCGCGTTGGGGTGAGCGGTCCCGCGGCATGGAGCCTTCCCAGGATTCCGCTGATGGGGAGGGTCCGTTAGGGCCACAAGTACATAGTTCTGTTTGCAGAAATAGCCTTGGTTAATTTCAGCAGAATACAAATGTGATAGCACAAGGGGAAGAGCCTCCCGGGATTACAAACACCTGGAGAGGGAGGTGGGTGACCTTGTGGAAGCCAACGGGACCTGAGAGGCTGGAGGTCAGCGCTGGCCTCTGTGTCACGGGCCTGCAGGCCTGGGTTCCGTGGGGGCTCCGCAGTCAGGACAGCGGCCCGAGCCTGCCCGCACAGTGCGACTCCATCCCAGGAGTGGGTCCCAGCGATGCCCGCCAGGTGCCAGGCATCGGTCACGTAGCTGAGATGCCCTGACGTGTGACCCTCGCAAGGACCTGTCGGGTGGGCGCCATGTGAGCAGTGTACCCAGGGCCCCTGCTGGACACTGCCACCCCTGGGGATCCAGTGTTGTCCCCAAGGCTCTAGCCCCATGGCCACAGGAATCAATCCTAAGCTTGGGCCACTCCAGGTTCAGTTCTGGGGCTTGCTGCCCACACAGGCAGCCCCTTCCTCGACTCTGCTGGGCTCCGAGGACCCCGATCACCGTCCACGTGCAGGGTGAACCCTGCAGTTAAGCCAGACGCATTTCAAAGTTGTATTTAATAAATCAGCCTTTTAAAACTTCCATACTTGGCAGTAATCCCTGACTGGGTGTCTCCTGATCTGAATGTCCCGTTTGCACGTCCGTCAATGCCACGCAGACTCGCTGCCTTGGGCTGGGCACAGCGCCTGCGTCACCTCGTGTCCTCCTCTGGACGCCTGTGCGAGAGCCCGCGCCCTGAGCTCTGGTGAACTCTGGAGTCGCCGAAGGAAAGCAACTCCACACAGGCGCGTCGAGAGCGCTGCGTCTACGTGCAGCCCTGGGCGCTTAGCAGTTTCAGTGGTTTGCACTCAGCCTGCAGGAGGGAGAAGACAGCACGTTCCCCCACCTCTGTGCCCAGGTGCCGCCACGCGGACGCTTTCTCAATGCAGTGTCTGCGCTGCGAGCAAGTCAGAATGGATGACACTTTGCCGCCCTTACCCCAGGGACATGACATTAATGCCAGCTCTGCCCGGAGCCAGCAGCGGCTTTCAGGCTCTGGGTCCTGGGCATTCCGATGGGCATCAGTTAGAGTCTTTCCAGAAGTGTATCAGCAGGTCCTTATGGAATGTGACTCCTGCTTCCGGTAGAACTTACATTCATTGATAACATTGATTGCACAGGTATCAGTTTAAGCACGATTACTTTTTTTTTTTCTTCCAGGTCCCCTAAGCTCTGACCAGGACTCTTCACATCGTCACCCGGGCACCAGCGGTGGCTCCGTCGCGGCAGCCATTCTGGTGCCCTTCTTCGCGCTGATCTTGTCAGGGTTTGCGTTTTACCTCTACAAACACAGGTACCGTGCCCGCGCCGCCCGCGCACCTCTTGCGGCAGTGAAGTGTCTGCGAGGCGGGCCCGCCCTCACCCCCACACACAGCGCCCTGACACGAGGCGTGTGCACAGGGCCGGGCACGTGGTTTCTCTGCTGGCTGCCCCCTTCCAGCGAGACCCTCTGGGAACGTGTTGGGAGAGCGAGGACGCGGGTTCAGAAGGGAGGTGCTCTTTCCGTGTCCACTGAAAGGGTTGTGTTTCTGCTTCCAAGCGCCAGGGCCAGCTAGCAGGACCACTGAGCTGGTGATTCTGCTCCGAAAGCCGAACCCGTGACCCCAGCTGCCCAGCCCCCGGGGCGGGGTTTGTGGGTGTTGATCTGTCTCTGCCCCAACAAGCACACTGAGGCCCTGCCGCGTGCTGAGCGACAGCACACACCCATCTCAGGGAGTGTCCCAAATAGCTGCTCACGTCCATGTCCTGCTACAGCACACACCCATCTCAGGGAGTGTCCCAAATAGCTGCTCAAGTCCATGTCCTGCTACAGCACACACCCATCTCAGGGAGTGTCCCAAATAGCTGCTCACGTCCATGTCCTGCTACAGCACACACCCATCTCAGGGAGTGTCCCAAATAGCTGCTCATGTCCATGTCCTGCTACAGCAAACACCCATCTCAGGAGTGTCCCAGATAGCTGCTCAAGTCCATGTCCTGCTACAGCACACACCCATCTCGGGAGTGTCCCAAATAGCTGCTCATGTCCATGTCCTGCTACAGCACACACCCATCTCAGGGAGTGTCCCAGATAGCTGCTCACGTCCATGTCCTGCTACAGCACACACCCATCTCAGGGAGTGTCCCAGATAGCTGCTCACCTCCATGTCCTGCTACAGCACACACCCATCTCAGGGAGTGTCCCAGATAGCTGCTCACCTCCATGTCCTGCTACAGCACACACCCATCTCGGGAGTGTCCCAGATAGCTGCTCACGTCCCTGTCCTGCTACAGCACACACCCATCTCGGGAGTGTCCCAGATAGCTGCTCACGTCCATGTCCTGCTACAGCACACACCCATCTCGGGGAGTGTCCCAGATAGCTGCTCACGTCCATGTCCTGCTACAGCACACACCCATCTCGGGGAGTGTCCCAGATAGCTGCTCACGTCCATGTCCTGCTACAGCACACACCCATCTCGGGAGTGTCCCAGATAGCTGCTTATGTCCATGTCCTGCTACAGCACACACCCATCTCGGGAGTGTCCCAGATAGCTGCTCACGTCCATGTCCTGCTACAGCACACACCCATCTCAGGGAGTGTCCCAGATAGCTGCTCACGTCCATGTCCTGCTACAGCACACACCCATCTCAGGTGTGTCCCAGATAGCTGCTCACGTCCATGTCCTGCTACAGCACACACCCATCTCAGGGAGTGTCCCAGATAGCTGCTCACCTCCATGTCCTGCTACAGCACACACCCATCTCAGGGAGTGTCCCAGATAGCTGCTCACGTCCATGTCCTGCTACAGCACACACCCATCTCGGGAGTGTCCCAGATAGCTGCTCACGTCCATGTCCTGCTACAGCACACACCCATCTCGGGGAGTGTCCCAGATAGCTGCTCACGTCCATGTCCTGCTACAGCACACACCCATCTCGGGAGTGTCCCAGATAGCTGCTCATGTCCATGTCCTGCTACAGCACACACCCATCTCGGGAGTGTCCCAGATAGCTGCTCACGTCCATGTCCTGCTACAGCACACACCCATCTCGGGAGTCCCAGATAGCTGCTCATGTCCATGTCCTGCTACAGCACAGACCCATCTCGGGTATGTCCCAGATAGCTGCTCACGTCCATGTCCTGCTACAGCACACACCCATCTCGGGAGTCCCAGATAGCTGCTCACGTCCATGTCCTGCTACAGCACAGACCCATCTCGGGTATGTCCCAGATAGCTGCTCGTGGCCATGTCCTGTTACAGGAAAACGCAAGAACTTGAAGAAAAATACTTGAATAAAATTGATCCTTTCCTCGGGTTGAGGTGGATGCCATGAATAAATAAGTAAAGCAAAAATGAATTTTGAAGTAATTACAGATCCATATACATTCTGTCTCTGCGAAAATACAGTACCCGTGAGATGTGGCGTGTGCCAAGGTCTATAAAGTGCTACTTGGAATAGCAGCATTCCCAGTAACAGTAACAAAAAGTATGAGCCCGTGAAATAAGATTAAGGTACGTTAAACATGCCCAATATTAATTTACATATTACAGATATTTCTACATAATCCTGGCAAAAAAAAAATTGGTGTAAGGGTTTTTGTTTTTGTTTTTGTTTTTTAATGACTAATGATTCATGGAATAGCTTTCATTATGTGTCCTTATGCTATTTTTAAAAATATAAAATAGTAAGAATTTTACTTTAAAATTACATTATAATAGCTGCTCGCAATTTTTTATGGTAGGTAATGTTCGTACTTTAAAAATGTAACCCGGAGTGCCCTGGCCAGTTTGGCTCAGTGGTTAGAGTATCAGCCCACGGACCCTAGAGTCCCCGGTTCGGTTCCCACTAAGGGCATGTACCTCAGTTGCAGTTTGTCCCCAGCCCCGGCTGGGGTCATGTAGGTGGCAGCCACTTGATGTGTCTCTCTCACATCAATGTTTCTCTCTCTTCCTCCCTCTCTCCCTCCTGCTCTATCTGAAGATAAATGCAAAAATGTCCTCGGGTGAGGATAAAAAAAATGTAACCCAGGGTTACATTTGAGTCTCAGACAGTAGTTACAGAGTTAAAGATTGACACCACTGTGTTTATTAATATTTTTGGAGGAAGAAATCCTATGTACACAAGCCCATGGAGCCCTATTCTCAGATTTCTACTTGGAATTAGTTGAAAATGTTGTAAATTTAGAAATATACCCCACCACCTTCTCCAAAAACATTCCATTGTTGGAAGTGCTTCTCTTATTGTAAATTAAAAATACATCTCCCTCCACAACTTCTCTAAGAAACGTAACACCCTTACAGAGATGAGTGTGTGAAGGAGCAACTTACAATCCCTGAAAAGTCATATTTGCGCCTGTGGCATCCACATTGACCCCACGGAACCAACATCATTCAGGAAAAGTCTTGTTCCCCCTTTTGATGGTGCACCGGTCGGCGGGGGCCTCTCTCTGGCACCTTCTGGGGGGCAGTGGGTCTCCCTGGGGGTGCTTCCCAGTCATGCTGACGTTTGTATGAGTCTCAGAGAAAGTATGTTTAGTATTTCTTATCCTTTATGTTATTTTCTTTCTCTTATCCTTTAAGAGGATAAGCTTACAGAATTAGATACACATTAATTAAAGTTTCCTTCTGATCATACCTTAACTTTAAAACAGGGTAGCAGCCCTGGCCGGTTTGGCTCAGCGGTTAGAGCGTCGGCCTGCGGTCTGGAGAGACCTGGGTTCGGTTCCCGCTAAGGGCATGTACGTCGGTTGCAGTTTGTCCCCGGCCCTGGTTGGTCGTGCGAGTGGCAGCCACTCGATGTGTCCCTTCACATCGATGTTTCTCTCTCTCTCTGTTCCTCTCTCTCCCTCCCACTCTACCTGAACAAAAAATGGAAAAATGTCCTCGCAGAGGATAAAAAAATAAAAAATAAAAAATAAAATAAAACAGGGTAGCATTGGGTCTCAGCATACACCCCAGTTGTACTCTTCAGACCTTAGGAACTTCCCTGTAAACGTCCAGGCTCAAACGCCTCCGTGAAGATGCGCACGGAGCAGATTTCAGACCCCGGACACGAGAAGTGGGAGTTAGGATGCCCTTTGCCTATAAGTTTGCCCCCCACTTTGTCTCCATACCTGTGGGCTGGCAGGGGATTTAACCACAGTGGGTGTCTCACCAACCTTGCTGCACACCCCAGGGGCAGCACGGTGTCCGGAGGGTGAAGGCAGTGTCTCCGAAGCCACAGCCGCCCCAGAACAGTCAGGTCCCTGTGTCTGTGCAGGTGAGGGGCACAGGGAGGGCCCTGCCCTGCACCCAGGTGCTTCCTCAGCCTGTTTTCTTCTGGCCCCGCCCCTGCCAGGAACACACAGAGAGCGCCCTGCGCTCCTCACCCACAGGTGCAGAAACCCCTTTGTGAGTCGGCTCTGAACTGCTGCAGATGAAGCAGCACTGCTGTCCGTGGGCCTCAGAACTGCTCTGCACTTGGAGTCCCGGCAGCTGACTCGGGGTGTCCGCCAGATGTGGTCCAGAGTCCGACCAGCTCTGCAGGGTTTCCCTGGCAATGAGGGGTGCATGGTGCTGGGTCCTGACCCTGAGATTAAATTAAAATTGAGCCAGGTTTCAAGTTCAGTGTCAGAGAGAGACCTCCAGGCCTCCTGGCGGCACTGCTCACTGCTTTTCTGTGGACAGCACCCTGACCTCCCAGAGTCACACACTTCTCATTCTCTTTTCCTAACTTACACATTATAACTAAAAACTGCACCAGTAGTCATCGACACAGAAGTTTCTTCACATCAACTCGAGGGATGTTTTTGCTAGTGTGGTCACGTACATTAAAGTTCTGTTTTCACCGCTGGGCATATTTTTCTTATGTAATTTCCTCTGGGAAAAAGGGGGCAGACTAGCTAACTTCAGGTCTTTTATATCAAAAAAGGTTTTACTTCTCTCATCTGAGCTCTCCATCGGGGTCTTTAGTAATGAGTTCAGCGACTGTTCTCTAACTTACACATTGAAGACAGAATCATATCACAGAAACAGCTAACACGAAGTGACTGTGAGGGACGGCAGGGAGTGGACGGCAGCATTTATGCTTTAGTTTGCTCCCAGCCGTGCTGGGGGATGGGCACTTAGCTCCCCACTTTATGGAGTGGGTCACAAGGCACAGTGACTGGCTAAGTCCCAGAACCTGGACGCAGTAGACGGAGGGCCAGGCCAAGTCCGCGGCACAGCCCTGAGGGTCCTTCCAGTTCGGCTGGGTCATCGGTGGGACCAGCTCATTTGGCTTTGGAGGCCACTTCCATGTTTAGAGTCCTCTACAGCGTCCACCACCGACTCAAGACCGAACTCGGAAAGCAGGGGCATGGGCCCTCCCGCGGCCACAGGGCGTCTCGCCCCTGTTCTTGCTGCGGACACAGGCCCAGGGGCCCCGCCTTTTTGTCCTGACACCGGGGCCCTAACTGCGTCTTGTCTCTTCCCCTCCTAGAACAAGACCGAAGGCTCAGTACAACGGCTACGCCGGCCACGAGAGCAGCAACGGGCAGGCCTCCTTCGAGAACCCCATGTACGACACGGCCCTGAAGCCCACGGAGGCCAAGGCGGTGCGCTTCGACACGGCCCTGAACACCGTGTGCACGGTGGTGTAGCCTCTGCCCGCCGGCCCAGAGCCACGCCTCGGACGGGCAGGCAGCTCCCGGCGCCATGGCCCTCCCCCGCTTAGCCACAACGACCTTCACACCCACAGACGAGCGATGTCCACGGAGCGCAGTCCCCTGGGGCCCGCCCGCCCCCTCATCCTGCAGGTGGAGCCCCATGTCTGGCTGCACCTGCCTGGGGTGGAGGCACCCTTGAGGGAGACTGCTCGGCCGGCCCGCCCGGATCCACGCCCCGGACTCCCTGTCTGCGTGGCTGGGGTGCCTTTCAATGCAACCTACTGGGCACATGGTACATCTTCCGCGGGTGACCAAATGGTAGCACCACAACAGGGTGTGCGTGTGCACGTGTGCGCGTGTGTGTGTGCGTGTGTGTGTGTGTGTCAACCCCCAGGAACACAGAAGACGCCGCCGTTCTGGGAGACGCGCACTGTGCTCGCCCCCGGCCGCCCCGGGCCTGGCCCGCTGCCTGGACTCCGCTCACCTCACTGTCCCTTCCCAGGGCCATCTGCGAGTTCCCGTCGGCTGTTCTACTGCAGAATTTTTGATGCACAATTTTTTGCACTAGTGTGTTATGAATGACTAAGATTCTGATAAAAATATATGCTACTTACACAGGGTTTACACACACTGCCCACTGTATATGCACACCTCATTTCTCCCGCTGAGCATCCCGCCCTCGGAGCAAGGTGTCAGGAGAGCGCCCCGACATGGCACAGGTTTGCAAAGGAAATGCGGTATCAAAGAGATTTATTTTATTATTGCTTCTTTATATTTAGCTACATGTATGTGTTGAATTCATTGGGAAAAAAAAAAAGAGGCCTTTATTCCCGTCTCCTCCTCCAGTCTGTCGACACCCAGGAATGTCTCGCGAAGGCTGTCAGCAGTTCTAGCCGCCTGTCAACATGTGAGTAGTAATTTATTTTAGTAGCTCGTGGACGTGGGGCTGGGTACGCCCTGCCCGAGGTCGCACTGAGGACGGTACCAGGAGCCTGGCCACAGCCCGTCCAGGAACAATGCCCCGCGTTCCCGGGAGACAGGACGTCACACTTCCCCTCACGGGGCCCTGTTCCTACACGTCCGTGCTCTCGCAGGTGGACAGGACATCGCCGGGGTTTTCCAGGGTCGGAGCTCGTCATCGGCGAGTTGTGCATGACGGTGCTCCAGCAGACGTGACCCAGTGTGGCCACAGACAGGACCCAGCAGAGGCGGCCACGGGAGAGCTTCCGTCACCAACTCGGCGTGAAAACCCTGCTTGTTTTTATGAACCACCGTTGGACGAGAATGTTCTGAGAAGGCGATGCTCCCGTTGTTTGGGTTTCTGTTCCTGCTTCCCACACAGAAAACCTTCCCTTCCCCACAGTCCAGAGCAGCAGGATGGAAGCCTAGGCGTGGGGGCCCCGTCCTGGGACCCTGTTCGCATCACACTCCGTCTGCGGATGAGCGTGTCTGCTGCCAGCTTCAGTGCGGACGCAGGTGTGCAGCATGGAAGCAGAACAGCCGTCAGGGTCCTGCCCAGTGCCCGCTGTTCGTCCTCGGTGAGGGGAGCCGCGTTGGGAGCTGCCCGGCCCTGGGCTCCCTAGCTCTGTGCTGAACTCCGCACAGGCCCCGGGACAGGAGCTTTGCTGTGTGCCCTGGAGCTGACAGCCCTTCTCCGACCGGATGAGGTCCGCCAGGGCCAGGCTCCCCCAGGGCGGCCCACAGAGAGCGCGGGGGCGGGTGTGCGGCTCAGGGCACTGCAGCGTGGGCGCAGGCGTGTACGTGCACATTGAGTGTAGGGAGCACTAGGTGCAGATGGGACTCCCCACCTGCCCTGCTGGCCGGTCAGAGCTGTCTGGAACCCGAGGGGACGGCCGGCACACGCCAAGACCCCACATACGCGAATGGACCTCACCGCCCTCCGTGGGCAGTCTGGAGCCTCCGGTTGGACGGTCCCCCGGGTGTGTGCACCCCCTTCCAGAGGACGCCCCACCCGGAGGTGGCGGGGGAGCCCAGGCCATCGCGGGTTCTGTGCTTCACGCTGTCGAAGCTGCTGCTTGTCCGCCCATCTTGCCTGCCTCAGGCTAGCTGCAATAATTCTTTTCTTCTGTGACATATTTTGTAAACAGCGACAAAAAGCTATCATCGAAGAGGGGAGAAGGCTGACGCCGGGCCAGGCGCGAGGCCCCGCCGCCCAGCGCCGCCACACGCTGCTGACACGAGCTAGGTGCAAAGACCCTTTTTGTACAGAGATATATTTTTTATGAAGAATTTGTAAAATTATTAAATATGCTGTAATTTTTTGATTAATGTAGGTAAATTGCTAAAAAAAAATACATGTTTTTACAATACAAAACTGTAATTTTTCCCAATAATGTACATGGTACCATCTGTAGCTGGTTTTCAGTTCCCACACATGTATTAATATTACCGTGGCCTGTTAAAATGAACAGTATCTTTTTTTTGTCAAAAAATTATAAAGAGAGTGTAATATAGCCTGTGCAATGCCACCTATCTTTAAAGCAAATCAGAGTTCTAATTAAATATTTAATTTTACATTTCTGTCTTCAGTGTGAATTCATTCGAGCTTTCCGGGTGCGTGGGGGGCAGTGAGTGACGGGGGGACTTTGCAGACCTGGAGGGCGGTTCGGTTCCGGTTCCGAGGCAGGAACAGCACCTTCAGCCAGTACACAGCAGACACAGGAGGAGCCCACATGGGGGCCTGGCAACGCCCACAGATTTCTCAATGGTTTTTGCCTTAAAATCAACACAAGTTTTGGTTCCCTCCAAACCCAAATCCAGCCTTTATTTCTATAATAAAAGAATCTGAAGTTCTTCCTGTAAACTTTCACTCCACGGAGAGACAGCATCAGGGAATTTGGATGACCAGAACCTTCCCTTGTCGGCCTCAGGGGACGCTCAGGAGGGCGGGCCCACGCCACCCCGCGTGGGTTCCGGGCTCGGGCTCAGGAGGGCGGGCCCACGCCACCCCGTGTGGGTTCCGGGCTCGGGCTCAGGAGGGCGGGCCCTCGCCACCCCGCGTGGGTTCCGGGCTCGGGCTCAGGAAGCAGTTGCGTCCTTCGTGGCCCGTCGAGCTGGACGTCTGCAGGTGGGCGGAGTGACGGGCTTTCCTGAGTCCAGTTACTACTACATGAAATCAACCAGTGAAAAAGAAAGCCCACGGTGGCGTCAAAGTGAGGGAATGTCGACACCCAACTTGGAGCCTGGGTCTCGATGGAGCAGCAGGTGCTCACTGCCAGGGACTGAGGTCCTTCCCTGCCCCAACGCCGTGTGTGCCCTGGAGCTGTCCCCTCCAAGGCAGGTGCCCCGTCTGCACTTTATGTTTTCATTTTTTTTGTTTTGTTTTTTTTCAATCCTCACCCGAGGACATTTTTCCATTCTTTGTTCAGGTAGAGTGGGAGGGAGAGAGAGGAACAGAGAGAGAGAGAGAAACATTGATGCGAAAGGAACACATCGAGTGGCTGCCACCCGCACAACCGACCAGGGCCGGGGACAAACTGCAACCGAGGTACATGCCCTTAGCGGGAACCGAACCCCGGTCTCTCTGGACCGCAGACCGACGCTCTAACCGCTGAGCCAAACCGGCCAGGGCTACGTTTTCATTTTTAACGTTGATTTATTTTCTTTCAATTTGACAACTTGTTTTTATGTTATCTTTATTGTTGAAAGTATTACAGACGTTCCCCCACTTTTTCCCCGCTGACCCCGCTCCCACGCCCTCCTGCCTTCCCCACACTGTTGTCTGTGTCAGTTGGCTGTGCATGTCTGTTCTTCAATCTTTGTTTCATAGACGGTGAAGCAGAGATTCAGAGAAGTTAGCTAATTTGCCCAGGAACGTAGCTAGGCAGGCTGATATAGAGGTCAGTTTTCTCTTGTTTGAACATTCTTTATATATATATATATATATATATATATATATATATATATAATGATTAAATTGATCAATTGTTCCCTTTTCCTGCAATTGAAATTTCCTATCCTTGTAAGAATACATATTTTTGTGTTTCCTTTGGTTAACAATGACCACAGTTGGGAATTCTAGCAGCAATCCACACCCCCTATGAGCTCTAAGTTCCCGCATTCTCACCCCGATGTCCTCAGTCAGCAACTAAGCAGCGCGTCTGTGGGGAGCTCCGCGGGGGCCTGGCAGCCTTCACCTCCCACTGACCGCCCGGTCACCCACCTACCTGCCCATCTGAAAGCTGACTGTGACTGTCCAGGAACCTGCCTCCCTTGTCTGGGTCCTGGACAGCTCTCTCACTCAGTACTGTGGACTCTGCAGGGCGGTGCGATCCACACAGGCCCAGGGTCCTGGGACACCCCCTACAGGGCCGGAGGCCTCTGGCCCCAGCTCTTTGCAAAGCTAAAGGAGGTCCGACTCACCCTTTGCCTTGGAAAAGTGCCTCCCAGAATCAGAGGGAGCTGGGCTTTGTGAACGAGGCCATCTGGTCTCCAGTGCCATCGCCGCATCTCTGGATGCTGTGGCTAGGACACCTGGCCCAGCATCCGGCTGCCCCTTGGGGACCACTCCGTGAGGGCAGTTTGGGTGAAGTGTCACCCATAGTGCCCCCACCCCTGTCCCTGAGCCAGGGCAAACTGCGGTCCAGGGACCGGAGCCCTGGGATGACACAAACTCGGGACGGGTCTGTCTGAATCGACTCTGGCACGGTCCCCAGGACGCCCTCAGGCCTCATCCCCTGACGCTGCTTCCCTCCACTCCCCGCCTGGGCTGGGCTGCTCTCTGGGTCCTGGGAGCCGCCACCCCTTTCGATAACATTCCTTTTCTTCCCCTCCAACTACCCAGGCTCCAGGACTTTGCTAACGATTAAGGATCTAAGCAGTTGCCATCACACTTACAAATTTTAAAGGAGACCCAACACCTGCCATGCTGACATGACGTCTGAGGAGGCACCTGCCACCCTGAGGTCCCATCCCTAAGCTCGGGGCCCTGACGCGTGGGACACCCACGTACCCGAAGGAGAGCCACAGCAGACAGCTCGGGGAGGCCGCGAGCCCTGAGGGGTGGGGGCTGAACGGGAGGGGGCAGTGCTGGTCCTGGGGGGTGGGGGCTGGACGGGAGGGGGCAGAGCT